CGTTGCTTATTACTGTCATTTGGTAATTGCACATCACTGCCCTATTCAATGAGAAACCTTGATTCGGCCTCCAGATTTTTTTTGGTACAAAAATCTAATGTTTATTGTCAATTTGCAACCATAGAATACCATCACGGCAGAAAAGTTCTTAATGTATCATTGAAATACCTTTGGATATTTCTTAACACTTTATTCGCCAAATAAAGTATAGTATCATAACACTTTAACAACCGATAGTGTTTAGCTTCTCATATTACCTCTTTAGGCTTCTGCTGGCTCTGAATCAATGGTTTTAAGTAATTCAGAAAAGCAATCCTGACTGCTTTAAGAAATTATTTATTTCATCACACACTCAATTAATGATAAAAAATTTAAGAACAAAAACTTTTTTGATATTTAAAAGTCTTGAACCAATCACCCAGAATGACATAACAAAAATGTTTGAGATACGTTAATAATGATGCGAATAATAATACGATTTCACTAGGTGTGGCTTTTTTTTCGTTTGACGAATCCTCCTCCAAATTGGAAGATGACCGGGGAAAGTATCTCATTAAAGATTCGGATAAATAATAAAGTGCCAGTCGATAACGGTTTTAAGATTAATATCTTTCTTAAAAATCGCACAATTTATTATCATATCACGAATATTTTAGAGTTTCTAAATTTATTCATGGCAAGATTTTTATCAGTTTATTAAGTGTTGTGGGAAAATATTTAATAATATTTATTAAAAAATTAGATTCAAAACGATAGTTTTAAGTTTCTTTTAAAATTAATTTTTTGTATTATAAAAAAATTTAAACGACAATGTAAAGTGGATGATATTTAATGTTGTGAATATCTATAGATAGTCAAAGTGATGAAAGTGAAAAGGTATTGTGCGAAATAAGTGGTGGAAATAACTAGATCTAGAACTAGAAACATTCCAATTTAGGCGGTATTGGGTTGCAAAATGTTTAATATATTCTATTCGTATTCTGTAATGTTGTTTGAAACTCCTTAAGGACCATAATATAAAAGACAAATCTGTTATCTTAAAAGATCGATTTTCTAAAAAGAATTTGCATGATTTGCTGAATTCAGCTGAAAAAGTGTAAAACTATTTTTGTGCCTAGACCATGAAAGTAAACTTTGCAGACTATATTTTACTCATTATTCTAAATCTAAACTATCAATAGTAATTAATTCAAAAGGACGGAGCAAAGTTAAATTCGGCTATGCTGTGTTATAATTAGACTGCGTTATTCATCACTTGACTAAGCGACAAATGAATAATGTTGAGAAAAACGGGATTTTCGTTTTCATCTCTCTAAAAATATAAGACTTCTCAGAATAGACAGGATCAAACTATTGAAAATTGTTTGGTGCTTGTCCATTTTTATCATAGAACACTGATGACAGCTATCACAAGCACAGAAGCTTGGTCACTCGTTACGTTTTACGATTATACATTATACAGAGTGTTTCTGTAAGTGGTGGCATAAATTTAATCACTAAAATAGAGACAAAATGATGACATTTTGTACTTTTAAACTGGTTTTTATTTTATATAGAATTTATTCTAACCAGTTTCAGCCCTTGGCCATCTTCAAAGACTCTATAAATAGATTAATATCTCTCATCTTATCCATTTTACAAACAACTTTTGTTAAAAAAGTTCACATATCAAAGTCGAAATCATATTATTAGTTACTAATTTACAAAATTAAAGTTTAAAAACAACTACAAGTTTGCAGGTTAAAATTTAAGCACACACTTTTTTAACAAAAGAAACATTAAGAAACTTGGGAAAAATTCAAGTTCCAAATCATCATGTGCCTTAAATATCGACGATTTTTTTTAAATCAATGTAAAATGACCCAAAAAACACGTTAAAAATAAATAGAAAGTACGGAAAAGTGATTAACTTCAGTTATAAAACTTGTATTATATGATAACTAACTTCAGGTTTAAAATGTTAACCTCAATTTTGACATATTTATAATCTTCATTAAAAATCCTTTAAAATGAGTACAAACACGACATATTTGTTTTCAATATTAATGAAGTTATGGTCAACTTCCGGTTAAGAATGTCAACGTCAATTTTGACATATTTGTAATCGTCGTGAAAAATCCTTTAAAATGAGTCCAAACATGATACGTTTAATTCCAATATTACTCGAGATATAAGCAACTTCCGGTTTGAAATGTCAATATCATTTTGACATATTCTTCTCTTTTTATAAAATGTCTTAATATTTGTCACAAAACAAAAATATAATAAAACAAAATTAAAAATTAAGGTTGGTATTAATATTTAAAAATTAATTTGTTATCTTCATTGTTGCTAACTTCGGGTTTAATGTTTTTTATTCTAACTTTTTTGTTTTTTGAGATAAGTGCGTCATCTTTGGACTCATTTTAAAGGTTTTTTAATGAAGNTAGTAAGTTACCAAAAAAAGAACTTTCTTTATTTTTCTTTCACTTTTAATAAAACCCACCATTTATTTCGCTCAATACCTTTTCACTTTCATCATTTTGTCTATCTATGTATATTCACGACATTAATCTCATTAAAGATTCGGATAAATAATAAAGTGCCAGTCGATAGCGGTTTTAAGATTAATATCTTTCTTGAAAATCGCACAATTTATTATCATATCACGGATATTTTAGAGTTTCTAAATTTATTCAAGATTTTTATCAGTTTATTAAGTGTTGTGGGGAAATATTTAATAATATTTATTAAAAAATTAAAACGACGATGTAAAATGGATGATATTTAATGTCGTGAATATATATAGATAGTCAAAGTGATGAAAATGAAAAGGTATTGAGCGAAATAAGTGGTGGAAATAACTAGATTTAGAACTAGAAACATTCCAATTTAGGCGGTATTGGGCTGTAAAATGTTTAATATATTCTATTCGTATTGTGTAATGTTGTTTGAAACGTCTTAAGGATCATAATATAAAAGACAAATCTGTTATCTTAAAAGATCGATTTTCTAAAAAAGAATTTGCGTGATTTGCTGAATTCAGCTGAAAAAGTGTAAAACTATTTTTGTGTCTAGACCATGACAGTAAACTTTGCAGACTATATTTTTCTCATTATTCTAAATCTAAACTATCAATAGTAATTAATTCAAAAGGACAGAGCAAAGTTACATTCTGTTATGCTGTGTTATAATTGGACCGCGTTATTCATCACTTGACTATGTTGAGAAAAACGGGATTTTCGTTTTCATCTCTCTAAAAATATAAGACTTCTCAGAATAGACAGGATCAAACTATTAAAAATTGTTTGGTGCTTGTCCATTTTTATCACAGAACACTGATGATAGCTATCACAAGCACAGAAGCTTGGTCACTCGTTACGTTTTACGATTATACAGAGTGTTTCTGTAAGTTCTTAAAGTTTAAAAAGTTATAAAATGAAATTAAGGGCGAAAAGTTACAAGTTTGCAGGTTAAAATTTAAGCACACACTTTTTTAACAAAAGAAATATTAAGAAACTCGGGAAAAATTCAAGTTCCAAATCATCATGTGGCGTAAATATCGACGATTTTTTTTAAATCAATGTGAAATGACCCAAAAAACACGTTAAATATAAATAGAATGTACGGAAAAGTGATTAACTTCAGTTATAAAACTTGTATTATATGATAACTAACTTCAGGATTAAAATGTCAACCTCAATTTTGACATATTTGCAATCTTCATTAAAAATCCTTTAAAATGAGTACAAACACGACATATTTATCTTCAATATTAATGAAGTTATGGTCAACTTCCGGTTAAGAATGTCAACGTCAATTTTGACATATTTGTAATCGTCGTGAAAAATCCTTTAAAATGAGTCCAAACATGATACGTTTAATTCCAATATTACTCGAGATATAAGCAACTTCCGGTTTGAAATGTCAATGTCATTTTGACATATTCTTAATTTTTATAAAATGTCTTAATATTTGTCACAAAACAAAAATATAATAAAAAAAAATTAAAAATTAAGGTTGGTATTAATATTTAAAAATTAATTTGTTATCTTCATTGTTGCTAACTTCGGGTTTAATGTTTTTTATTCTAACTTTTTTGTTTTTTGAGATAAGTGCGTCAAGTTTGGACTCACTTTAAAGGTTATTTTATGAAGATTACCAATATAATAATAAAATTAAAGTTGACATTGACAACTGAAAGTTTTTTTCACCACTAAACCCGAATAGTAAATACAAAGTAAATAGGTACATTTTAAGTACAATTCACTGTATAATTTATGTAATGTAATGTAATGATATAGGCAACACAATATGATGTAAAAAGGATTGCCTAATGAAATAAAAAATTTATTTAAACATTTCAAATCAAAAAATTAAGTTTATTTACTTTCTTTCTTACATCTTTCACTTTTATTAGAACTCATCTATAAAAAAAAACTTTTCTTCTAGTAAGTTACCAAAAAAAGAACTTTCTTTATTTTTCTTTCACTTTTAATAAAATCCACCATTTATTTCGCTCAATACCTTTTCACTTTCATCATTTTGTCTATCTATGTATATTCACGACATTAAGTATCATTTTCCACTTTACATTGTCGCTTAGATGTTAACAATCCCATTTGAAATTATCATTATTCATGAATGCAATTTTAATTGTATAACCAGATGTTGCTGTTTAGAAAGACATGTTTTCTCTCGAACAAATTTTATTTCCCTCATTTTAATCAATCCAAAGTAAAAGTAAATATAAGGCGTAGCAAATCATACAATCGAAAGTCGTCTACTTAATCTACTTTTTTACTTAATTCCTTATTTTTTATTTTCCTTTCTCACTATCTTTTTTTACCTATCTTTCAGGATTATTTATTTTGTGCCCGAAATTAATTACTTAGCATTGCGACTTTCCTCAAGTGAAATCTTGTTCAATGCGAGGTATTTTTAATGATATTTTAATTACTCTTTTGCGTGTCTTTTGTTGTAGTAATCTCGGTTAATTTTCTAGGGTAGAAGAAAAATGGTCAGGTTTTGAGATGTTTTATTACGCAAATTGTTTATTTTGGGAAAGTGTCAGAAATAATTATTTATTTCACAAAATATCGTAAATTATAACAATTGTAACATCGGAAACGCAATTAAACACTACGTTACATAACGCTAAGAACGCTATAAATTAAATTACGTAATTAAAATGATCTATAATACATTATTTACAATTTTTCAATCTTTTTTAACGAAAATTATCCTTTTGTATTGTAATTACTATAATTGTTGCCATTATTATTATTATTATTATTGCTGGAATAATTTGTGTTTTGATTATTTCCTTTAACGTCTTCATTACTGGTTGGTTGATATTCTTGGTTTAAATTATTATCTTGAATTTTTCCCGAATTTTGAGAGCTATACAATTGTTGTAAAGCAGCAGTATTTAGTGGTGTGGAACTTTTCAATGGCGTTATCGGTTGTCCAGAATTAATTTGAGCTTTAATTTGAGCTTGTTGTTCTGGGGTGAAATTTTCTAACCCGGTAATAATAGTTGGGGGATTTCTGTAATTAACTTGAGGGACATATTTTTGAGCAGCCAATTGGGCTAATGCTGATATATGATTTAAAGATGTTGAATGTCCAAATTGGCCCGAAGGATACGGAATAAACTGAGGAACTTCGGATGGAGCCGATTGTGGAACATTATAACTTGGTTGAGATTGAATTTGAGGTTGGGGTGGAATTTGTTGACCTTGGATTGGTGCGTTTTGATATTGTTGATATGGTTGTTGGATTAAATGGTAATAAGGAAGAGGTTGTGGGGGAATAAATTGAGGTTGAGGTTGCGAATGTTGAACATTTCCTATATTGGGGACAAAATTTCCTTGGAGAAATTGAACCCGAGCTTGAGGATTGCCATGGAAATACTGAAGGAGTTGTTGAGCAGCTGTCGTTAAAAGTTGTTGTTGTAACTGAGCCGGTTGGGCGATTACGATCATAGCTGGTTGATGTTGAGGAGGTTGATATTGAGCTGAATAAGGTGATGGAGGGGGGTAATATTGTTGAATAGCAGGTTGTTGAGTGAAATATTGAGAATCTTGATTTTTTTGGTTCGATAAAGGAATTGCGTTAAGATTCTTAGCTGAAGAAACTCCTCTCCCTGTTGATTGAGTTTCCGAAGATTCTAAATCAACAGCTTGGGTTGTAAGAAGAAGACATGTAAAGACCTAAATTAAAAGAAAAATTAATTAAAATGAGACTATCCAAGAAATTTAAAACTTACAAAATATTTCTTCATCTTTGAATCAAAAATAAATCCAAGTAAAATAAGGTCGAAATATCACTTTAATTCAATGAAACACTTAAACACTGTTAACGTTCTCTAACCGGGCCACAAATGTATGGGGAGTACCGAAACTTGGGTTTATATACCAGGAGAATTTTTTTCCATAAAACGGTCACTTTGTTCCAGATTTGAAAGAGGTGGTAGCCCCACAATTTCTCTGATAGTCGCAGTCTTGTTTTTTTCTTCGCAACGTTCCTCAACGATAGTCACTTTCGCCCAAGAACATTACGTTCGTTGTCTGTGCTCTGTACCATAAATATACAGTATGTTCATCATTAATTTTCACGTGTTATCAAATTATCACCTTAAATCTTCAATAAAAATCTAATACAAAAAAAATATGTTTAATATAATTATATATAGGTACATAAAATCCAAATTTTCTTATAAAAATAAATCATGAAAGATCCTTTTTGTTATTCAATCCAATTCCGATCCCGATTATCGATAAAATTCGAAATTCAGGTTTCGTATTCTTCTGGGTCGCAATTGGACATTGCATGCAAAACGCATTGACAATCAGTTTTACAACACTTCCTGCTGAATGTAATTTGGGTTAAAAGTGCAACTAGAACACCAATTAAATAAGTATTAAGCAAATGTTAAGATTAAAATAACTAATCGTTTTATTGCTCATACCTTATACAGGGTAATCTTAAATTACTTAATAAAAGGAACTCTTAAAAATTGATGATTAATAATAACAAATTCGTTCTTGGAGTTTACGACAAGTAAGAAGTTTGCAAAACCAATCTAATGTTAGGTGTTGATGAATCTCACAAAGTGATAACCTAATTGTGTTATGTGCTTGAAAATTGTATCTTATGTAATATAATAAACTGCTCTATGTGATAGAAGGAAGGACTTTAATTATTGTCCAAATATTATTTACGAGCATACTCAAATTATAAATGTTTGCTCAAAACTGATTCTAGCACTTTAGCTTCAACGGACGGATTCTCTTGGAGACATCATGCGTGGAAAAAAACCCAAATGTTACGCAGAGGACCATCCTTGCTACCTTTTTCCAGCTACTATGTCCTATGTACTATAAGATTCAAGACTTTTGGGTTAATACATCTAATAACTACGGAGACAATCGTTTTTTTAGCTGCGCGAAGGATAAGTACAAACTGCTATCTATGTGATGTCTCAATTTATAGGCAATTAGAATGCCATCAATAAGGTGTGCAACTGGTTGAAGCCACCAGAGTAGGCAGATGGAGTTTTGTAATCTGATGCCATTTAAGTTCTCCTCGTTTTCTGTAAAAAACGTTCTCTTGCCTATAAAGTAGATCATTAATGGCAAAACCATACCGGCTGCTCTTCAATATACCTAATTATGATTTGGTGTAATTCTGAACTGACTCTTTTTTACGAATATGTCACCCAGGCAATTTCATGATATTGCACAGACTTATAATGCAACTCATTCTAGCAATTTGATGACTATGGGTTCTGCTGCGTAAGGAATGTTGGAATTTTTTCAAAAATTATCTGTAAATGTTTATCTTCAAAACTAAATAAGATTTTCAAAATCGGATTTCACCGTGATAAAATATATAATTAACTTTATATATCTTGAAAATATCACAATAATATTTTAAAAAATGAATTTTTCGCGAATTTTTAATTGTAATGGAAAAAAAGTATCAACCTTGATAAACCACAAAATATCGTTCACTTTAAAAATGTTATAACTCAAAAACTAAATGGACTTTTAAAAAACGGATTGCGCCATTAAGAAGGTGCCTCTTTTCTTTATATACCGACTTATTTTCAAAACGATTGCGTAAAGACTAGATTTTTAACGATTTTTTCAAAAATGGTCAACAAATGTGTATGGTTGTGATTAAACAAATTTATCTTCCACCCTTAATGAGATTTTTCCAATCTGATTTCACGGTGATAAAACATATAATTAACTTTATATATCTTGAAAATATTATAACAATATTTTGAAAACTTTTAAATTGAAAAATATTTTGCGAATTTCTGAAAAAAAATTCCTTTATTTCCTTTTCTGTATGTTCATATAATCTTGACCTCCCTATATATAAATTAAATATTGCATGAGATAAATTACAAAAGGAAATAACTTTTTGCTGTCATTTAGAACTATTGCAAAACAATAATTGCTACACAATTTTCTTATTTGTAAGCAAAAAAACTTTCATTTTGTTACTAATTTTTTATTCATACTTTTTATCTACAATATACGTAAAATAAGATCGTATTCTCTGAAACCCTAGAAGTTAATAGAAGAAACAACTTTCACCGTTATTTTTTAGTTTACGTCACCTGGAGTACTTCGAAAATGGCAAAAGCCGATTTTTCCTTATTTAGTTAATCTGGTGAAAACGTTATATGATATTTAGATTTTAATATTCTCCACGTGAGATGTAAATAATTATTTTTCGATTAGTAATTAAAAACGATTGTTTACCAGACCAAAACGGTTTTCGTCGAAAGAAAAAAAAATTAACCCACCGACGAAAAGAGGAGAAAGAGAAAGGAATTATACTCGGTCAGTAACGCCTTCCGTTTGTTATTTGAAACGGGAAGTTGAGAATTATTCGGAGATTGCAGGAGATTCGAAAGGCTTAAACTTCTTACTTGGGTGTTAATGTTTTATATCGACAATGAAGATTGCGATCTGACACTCCACAGAAAATTTGTGATGTAACTTTATAGCTTTCGCGTAATAACGTTGAAAATTGAACGTCTTTTCAGGAATTGTATTCGGGAATAACTCGGCTTTAATCCTTTTCAAAACCAAAGACTATTAGGAAAGTACTTTCGTGTACTAGTTTCTCTTCTCAATCAATATAATTAAAGAGATGCCAATACATAAATTATTTTACTCAATAATTATAGGTAACTCTCTATTTGAAGCCGCAATTATTGCTGATGAGTTATTGACAAAACAATTACTAAAATTTATTTAGTTGATTTGGTATAGAAATTTATTATTTTTTTTGAAGAATTTTTAAGATGATTAATACTTTGTATAGGTATTGTTTGTAAATTATAAAATTGACTTAATTGTCGATTATTATTGTTTTCAATCTGACGTAAAGTGTTTGGAAAAACCAAATTGGCTCTGGGTAATTGTTAAGATTTGTCACGAATTTTAATTGCATTACCATAAAAAAACTATTATTCCATGAAACGAGCAAAAGGAAATGTTTAAAAACAGTATTGCGACATATGCACCGTAAGATATTGTATTTTATGGACCGATGTAGTATGTCTAAGTTAGTATATTGCTATCTGGTTGTGTAATGCTTTTTTCTACTATATTATACACCAGGAAATCTGTGGACGATTCGTTAATTTCAAATAAACTAGGTTAGGTAACTTTCCTGCACGCTAAAAATAGCCCAACAAATTTACACTCCCTTAAATAACAATTATACATTAACAATAAACCGTGATATAGTATTGTTAAAACCTAATTGCAAAGAGAATTTAATCGCCACACTTTGCTTTCACTACACATTAAATTAATGAATTTGCGTTTAATAGAAATCTCTCTCTAATATTTCGTATGAAAGGCGGTCAATTCACAAAAAGATAATTTGCAAATCTGTTAACGTGGAACAGAATTTTTAAATAATAATTAAAACTATAACTAACATTAGACCTTGAACTAGAAAGTTTCAATTCAATATAAATATACAACAATCTAACGCTGATTAATAATTAATAACTAAAACTAGAGCTAACACTAGTACTAGAACTAACACTATACAGCCGTAATTATTATAGATATCAAAAATTTTTGTTAATATTTTTGATTCAAAATTAAAATCTAAACAAGTTTTATTCAAAAAAATTTTTGATTTTACCAACAATTAATAAGATAACCTCAAAAATCTTATTTTTTATACCAGTGTACAGCGCCATCTAGCGGAAATATCAACTTTTTTTATTAAAATAATCGATTTAAAATTAGAATATAAACAACTTTTATATGAAATATTTTTTAATTAAACCAACTTTTTTAATCGAGCCCAAATTTTGCATTTAAGGTCATGGAAGTATATAGCCTTAATTAACAGAGATATAAAAAAAATTTATTAACATTTTTGATTCAAAATTAAACTTTAAATAAGTTTTATTCGAAACAATTTTTGATTTAACCAATAATTAATGAGATAACCTCAATAATCTTATTTTTTATACCAGTATAACCGGTTCTAGAAAAGTTCAATAAAAATATACAACAATCTAGCGCTGAATAACAATTAAAACTAGAACTAACACTAGTACTGGAGCTAACACTAGACCTAGAACTAGAAACATTCGGGTTTAGCCGTACGTCTCTTAAGACGGCTAATCCCGAATGTTTCTAGTTCTAGGTCTAGTGTTAGTTCTAGTTTTAGTTCAATAAAAATATACAACAATATAGCGCTGAATACAACCTGAACTAACACTAGTACTGGAGCTAACACTAGACCTAGAACTAGAAACATTCGGGTTTAGCCGCACGTCTCTCAAGACGGCTAAACCCGAATGATTCTAGTTCTAGGTCTAGTGTTAGTTCTAATAATGTTATTCTAATAGTGTTAATTCTGATAGTGTTAGTGTAAAACTATAACTAACATTAGACCTTGAACTAGAAAGTTTCAATTCAATATAAATATACAACAATCTAACGCTGATTAATAATTAATAACTAAAACTAGAGCTAACACTAGTACTAGAACTAACACTATACAGCCGTAATTATTATAGATATCAAAAATTTTTGTTAATATTTTTGATTCAAAATTAAAATCTAAACAAGTTTTATTCAAAAAAATTTTTGATTTAACCAATAATTAATGAGATAACCTCAATAATCTTATTTTTTATACCAGTATAACCGGTTCTAGAAAAGTTCAATAAAAATATACAACAATCTAGCGCTGAATAACAATTAAAACTAGAACTAACACTAGTACTGGAGCTAACACTAGACCTAGAATTAGAAACATTCGGGTTTAGCCGAACGTCTCTTAAGACGGCTAATCCAGAATGTTTCTAGTTCTAGGTCTAACGTTAGTTCTAGTTTTACTTCAATAAAAATAGACGACAATCTAATACTGAATAACAACTAAAACTGGAACTAACACTAGTACTGGAACTAACACTAGACCTAGAACTAGAATAATTCGGGTTTAGCTGTCTTGAGAGACGTGCGGCTAAATCCGAATGTTTCTAGTTCTAGAGCTATAGTTAGTTCTATTTAGAACATTTAAGTAAAATAAAATAAATCGATAAATCGACCAAACCACATCAAACGATACAAAAAAAAATTATTGATTTAATAAGTCACCACAGCAACTCATAAACACTTCACTTTACAATTTTAACAGTCACTTTTAACTCTCCAACTAAAAAAATGGTAATAATTCACGTAAAAAACAAAGATCAATGCCAATTTTTATACGAAACTACCCTCGATACATCAATTGACGATTTGGTGGTTGAAATCGTTGCTATTTACAACGGAAGATTAAAAATCCAAAGAATATGTGCTGAAATGGAGGAGTTAGCAAAATACGGAACTTTATATCCCCCCGAAATCTTGGGGTTAACTCCCGAACAAGTTGAAGAATTAAAATTGGTCGATCACGATGGTGAAAGATGCATACCAAGTGGTGGATTTACCCTTGTTAAAGACCCAATTGGTAGAAGAAACGGGAAACAGCCCAAAAAAGATATGCAAGATCTCATTAAAAAAAGTGTTAACGAAGCGAAAGAGATGATCTCGAAGAAATTGGTTCTCCAAAATGTTATTATGACGAAAAAAATTATTCAAAACGCTATTGATTTATTAAAAGGAACGGTTTTAATTGTGTACCCAATGAAATTGCCGGTTCACGATGTTATTAGAATGGAGTTTGATAACATTGAAGATTTATCTGGAACTCAAGCTGCTTTAGAAGTCATCGATCCGGCTTCGGCTCAAATTTGGTTTTGCGGAAAAGAAATGTACCGAGATAAAAAATTTGTTCGTGATTATGTTGGAAAATTCGAAAATTGCAAAGTAAACTTATTTTCGTTAATTTATTTGAATTTAATCATTCTTTTTAGGTAATAATGAAAATTTCAAATCGCGGCGAAGGAGCGCCAAGTAGAGAACCGATAATGAATGAGGATCAAAGAAAACAAATGATGCTTCACGCTTATCGAAAGCAAGAAGAGCTAAAAAAATTAGCGAATGATGATGATGATAGCTACTTAAATTCGAGTTGGGCTGATAGTGGGAATTTAAAACGAGCTTTTCATGGGTTGGATAATATTTCTTGGAGACCGAGGAAATGAATTAAAAAAAATATTTCCATTTAAAACGATTTATATTTATATCTTAATAGTTTTTTTTAATGTTTTTTGTAAACAATTTCATTTAGTGTGATTACACCAATTATAACAGATCAAAGATCCAAACCACTTAAATCCTGAGTGTATATAAAAGTTGTCAATAAATAGTTTTAGTGAATATCGAGTTTTATCTCATCAAGAGATGAAATCAATTATTCTTTTGATTTTGTTAGTTTGTTTTGTGAGTTGTTTTGCAGCTCCAACCCCAGATCCTAAGGTAATAAATTATTACTAATATTAAATAATTTATTAATTAATTTTTATTTTAGCCTGACCCATATGTGGGGGTAAGTTATGGTTATTGGGGTTACCCCGGATTATATGCAAGAGTTTGGTGGCCTTCTGGCTATTGGCCGGATGGATATGGATATGGTTATTACCATTATTATTATTAATACAAAAATTTGTTAACACTACGATGTAAATAAATCGTTTAATTTCATCCTCGTTTCTATTTCTATATTAATAAGTTAATTATAATGATTGTGGACTTGCGCTACATAGTCGAAGAGTACTCAAAAGTTTGGAGTGTCATTACAGACTTTTTCGTGCAGTCTAGAATTTTATCAATACAATTCTAGATTGCATTCTTGGTCTTGTGTTACTTCTAGTGATAGTGCTAATGTAAAACTAGAACTAACACTAGACCTAGAACTAGAATCATTCGAATTTAGCCGTCTTGAGAGACGTGCGGCTAAATCCGAATGTTTCTAGTTCTAGGTCTAGTGTTAGTTCTAGTTTTAGTGCAATAAAAATATGCAACATAGTGATATTTATGCTAACTAGCGCTAACTAGAACTGTCACTAGAATCATTTGGAACATACCCAGTATAACTTTTTGATGTTTTCTTGAAGTTTTGAGTTTGATCAGAATAATTCTAAACTTTTCTTGTTTATGATCATTTTGATTCCACAGTTTTCTTATTCAAACTGGGAGTTCTCTATATTCTTTCCAGATATTTACTTGTATTTCAGAATTGGTCAGAATAATATTTTACATTCTATAAAAATCTGAAGTCTTACCAGAGTCCTACAAGACTAGCGTCTGGTTGATTCAACATATTAACTTCATTGTTAGTACTCGTTTTCTGGTTTTTGTTTTTATTCAACTTTTAACTTTTATTGATAAATTTCTAAAACTACTTTGTTCTACAAGAAGGTATTTGTTATTTCTTATTTATATGAGTTTGTACCCACCTCATCTATCCCATGAAGATTCCAGTGTTTAAAAGTAATTTCAAACTTTTTCTTCCTTTATGCTGTTTGGTTATATTCATTTTAGACTTGCTTTTGTATTCTGGATATTGACCAATGCAACTGCAATATTCCGTGTTAATTTGGATTTCGTTTAGACAGTTTCTGACTTCTTCTAAAGTTTGGAGTGTCATTACAGACTTTTTCTTGCAGTTCAAAATTTTACCAATGGAATTCTAGACTTTTTCTTGTAATTCGGAACATGGCCACCATAATTTTTGATAGTTTCTTGAAGTTTTGAGGTTGATCAGAATAATTCTAAGCTTTTCTTGTATAAGGTATCTGATCATTCTCGGTCTTGTGTTAGTTCTAGTGATAGTGTTATACTCTGTTTTTAAACCAGGAGGAGTATTTTAAATTTGTCACCAGATTGACCTTGCACGTGATTGGTTGAATGCGAGGAAGGTTCACACACGGGCAATTTTGAATTTTGATTTTGAATTTGAAGGTTAGGTTATTGACAATTCGACAGTTTCGTGTCATTATTGTAAATTTTGTGTTCTTAAACCCTTCTTTATTATATTTTGATATGAATACACTCATAACTTCAATGTTAATTTGTATGTTTAGTGTTGACGATAACAAACGAAAATAAATACAATAATAAGTAAATAAATAAATGAAAGTGATATTTTCTGGTGATTTTTCCTAGTGTAAATCTGACTTTCGCGTTTACTCCTGGTTTAAAAACAGAGTATAGTGTAAAACTAGAACTAACACTAGACCTAGAACTAGAAACATTCGGATTTAGCTGCACGTCTCTCAAGACGGCTAAACCCGAATGATTCTAGTTCTAGGTCTAGTGTTAGTTCTAGTTTTAGTGCAATAAAAATATGCAACATAGTGATATCTTATGCTAACTAGCGCTACCTACCACTGTCACTAGAACCATTTGGAACATGCCCAGTACAACTTTTTCTTGAAGTTTTGAGCTTGATCAGAATAATTCTAACCTTTTCTTGTTTATGATCATTTTGATTCCACAGTTCTTTTATTAATACTGGGAGTTGTCTATATTCTTTCCAGATATTTTCTTATATTTTAGAATTGGTCAGAATAATATCTGACATTCTATAAAAATCTGAAGTCTTACCAGAGTCAACATATTACATATTACAGAGGTTAATTCAACATATTAACTTCATTGTTAGTACTCGTTCCGTGTTAATTTGGATTTCGTTTAGACAGTTTCTGACTTTTTCTAAAGTTTGGAGTGTCATTACAGACTTTTTCTTGCAGTCCAGAATTTTATCAATGGAATTCTATACTTTTTCTTATAATTCGGAACATGGCCAATATAATTTTTGATATTTTCTTGAAGTTAGATTTATATTTATATCTTAATAGTTTTTTTGCAACGTTTTTCGTAAACAATTTCATTTAGTGTGATTACACCAATTATAACAGATCAAAGATCCAAACCACTTAAATCCTGAGTGTATATAAAAGTTGTCAATAAATAGTTTTAGAGAATATCGAGTTTTATCTCTCGATGATCAAAATGAAATCAATCATTCTTTTGATTTTGTTAGTTTGTTTTGTGAGTTGTTTTGCAGCTCCAACCCCAGATCCTAAGGTAATAAATTATTACTAATATTAAATAATTTATTAATTAATTTTTATTTTAGCCTGACCCATATGTGGGGGTAAGTTATGGTTATTGGGGTTACCCCGGATTATATGCAAGAGTTTGGTGGCCTTCTGGCTATTGGCCGGATGGATATGGATATGGTTATTACCATTATTATTGTTAATACAAAAGTTTATTATCACAACGAAGTAAATAAATCGTTTTAATTTCATCCTCGTTTCTATTTCTATATTAATAACTTAATTACAATGATTGTGGACTTGCGCTACATAGTCAAAGAGTACTCTTACGATGACTTTTCCTTTCAAAAAGTAAAAGTAACCGACTCTTTGGTCCGGCAGTTGTCGAGCCTTTCGTATCTTCTAGTTTTGCATCGTGAAAGTCCAGCAACAGCACGAATCGCTTCGCTGGTAGCGAGGAACGTGCCAATAAAAACCATTTACTACGCAAGTTCAAAGTCAAGGCGGAGATTTCGATGGTGCAACTCCTATGGAACGTGCCAACATTTTACACTATTATTCCGCATCGTTCGTTACTATCCGCTGGGCGAAAGGAATTTTTATTTAATGTTCTTGCGAAAGCTTCAGATTTTCTTCGGGTTATTAGAGCTTCTACAAACAAGCTCTAATAACCATTTAATTGTTTTAGAATATATTATTTTCTATCCTGTTATTGATATTCAGTATGTGATGTATGTAAATCGTACGATTTTCCTTCTTTCACTTGACATTGAGTACGGAGTAACGATCTTTCGTCGCGGTGGACAACGCCTTCTTTCAGTATGCGGTTTTGTACAAATCAGGGCAAAGTATATAAAATATGCGACCTTTTTATTCTAGTATTTAACTTTTTATTTATGGTTTTAACGATACAATTTTCAAATCGTTATAAGAGATTAAGAAGATTAATTAACAAGATAAAGTTATCTTGATTTGTTAAGTATGACTCATTTGAATAAAGGAATTTAACATTCATGAAGCACTTTTGAATTGTACCGATTAATGCATAACAAGTATCTCGAGGCGATTTTTGAATATTCATTAGAAATTGCGTTAAAATTAAACAGATGGTTTATTGTCCGAAAAACAACTTTCCTATTGTAGTTCATTTGGGCAAGGTTCCACAAAAATTCTGAAACAAGACAATCATCCATAGATATGGGCAAATACGATACTTAAAAAAGTAAATATATTTGTACATAGGTGTAAGAAAAAAAAATAGATACACTCCCTGTAACCCACAGATGCGAACTCCGTCACAGATTTCTTCTATTGGTCCCAACCTGCACTTCGAGGTCATCGATTGGTATAAATGCTTCATTTTTCCTCTGCAGGTTATCAGTATCATATTGTTACGAGCAAAATGAAAGTCCTCGTAAGTAACATTTTCTTTGCAGCCAAATCAAAAATTTTTTTTCTAATTTTCTTATAGGCTTTAGCAGTTATTTGCGCTATCATCGCAGCAGCCTCCGCTGGTTGGGGTGGTGCCCATATTGTACCAGCATCAGCTCATGGTGGTGCTGTAGGTGGCCATATTGGTGCCGCAGCTGCCATCGTTCCAGCTTCAGCTGGTGGTTATGCCGCACCAGGATGGGGAGGTTGGGCCGGACACGGAGGATGGGGAGGTTGGGGTGGACATGGAGCATGGGCCGGTTTAGGAGGATGGGGAGGCTGGAACGGTTGGAACGGATGGGCTGGAGCTGGACATGATGGTCAATGGGTTCCGGAAAATAGTGCCGCTCACTACGATGATGGTTCTTACAGACCAGAACATCATTATGCTGCCGGGCATCATTGGTAATGATCGAATTGGAAATTTTGAGACCTCCTAATATTGTGTTCATTTGTACAAATATGTATTTCAATCTAAAAGCTTTTATCTGTGCAATAAATTTTTGTTTTCACTGAAAATGTTTCTTGTATTTCTTCCAAAATTTAGTTCATCATCAGTCCATACTGTACACATTATAGGTATTACTAATAACATTTCAGTATGAATAATGTAATAATAACTGAAATACATTCTAAGTAAAACTGAAAGGTCAATTTATCAATATTAAATAGCAACCATACAAAGAATCATTACTCATAGGCACTCTACACATGGGCACACAAGACTTAAGAGATTATTTCATGTCAGCTTGTAAGAAAGGCATTAACACTTGCTTCACAACTCTATCATATTTCCTAATCTGAAGTCTTGTGGTTTCATTAGCCAGAGAATTGATATTCTAGAAAATCTTCTCGATATTTTTCAACAACTACAATCACCAAAATTTACGAAAATTCATGGATCATGGACTCTTAGCAGCGTAAATTCCAAGTCAGTTCTAATAAAGATTTACTTCTTAAATAAATTTATCATAAGGAACAGTGTTGCCAATATGAGTTATTTTATTCCAGCATAGATGGTTGTCGTGCAGCTAGAACGACAAAATACAGTAAAACCTCGATATAATGAACAAATACGGGAAAAGTTCGTTATGGCCAAAAGTCCGTTATATGAAAAATTTTTAGTTTACACTTTAAACTGTCTTCCAATGTTTTCAGATTGATGTGTTTAAGTTGAATTTTCTTGAGGAAGTTTTGTTTAGTAAACTGCAATTTAAGGTTCCATACAATTTAAGGCAAAGAAATAAGGATTTGCCTTATCTGAACCTGAATGTAGTGGAAATTGAAAATTGTCGATCATTTCAAAAATTTATTTCTCAAGAACTGAAAGTGATTTTTCAAAACGGCTTTTTGCATTAAAAAGAGTATACTTTAATTAATAATTGGTGATATTTCCACAAGGATNCTCGTGTTTGGTCAAAACAACAACATATGCGTTATAATAAATTCACACCCCACTAAAATAACGGGCAATAGGAAAATATCGATACACATTCACAAAAATTCTTAGGCATATTTACTATTGTAGCTAAAAATATTCCTGTTTCAATGTCAGTATTGAGTAATAATCGCGCCACTTTATCTACCTATAACGAGATATGAACCAGGTTGTTTACAACTTCAGGTGTACGCTATTGGGTAAGTTTATAGGAGGGGCTGAAAATCTAAGAAAATTTTTAGAGTATTTGTATTTATTTACATATAGCATATTAAATTTTTACGAATTTGTGTCGAGGAAATCATCGGCAATGCTAATAGATTAATAACTTAAATGAGAAAGATATGGCTTTAGAGGTAATTGTAATTACGAGTCGTTATCCTAGATATTATGCATTCAATATCAAGCATTAATTAATACTACGTTTAGTTTTATTACATTCACCGTGACCTTTGCATTTTCTACACTTGGTAATGCTAATTATTCTAGATCAATTTTTTTTCTTATTTTAATCTTAAACATATATTATTAATAAGTATATCTTGAAGTTTTGCTGTTTAAAGTCTTCTAATCTTGTAACACAATTGAAGTTGTTACACTTTTTTTATAATTTATGAATGTTATGGTATATAAATGTAATAACTTATTTTTATGTTTCTTATTTTTTGCTTCAAATGACGTGGATTCTGATAGAATCGAATATTTTCTTGAATATTGTTGAGATTGTATGGGTTAAAAATAACCTCGTGGTTAATCAATAAAATAAAACGATTATATAATGAGCTTAATATAAATAATTTATTTTTCACAAAAAGAAAATTATTTTATCAGTACATCGCACCATATACGCAAATAAAATACAATTAAACAAAGTTGTTATTAACAATCGCCAATATGGCTCTTTACAAACATGAAAGACGCTTTGTATATTATCATCTAAAAAAACAGCCAGTTCGATTTGTTTAAATTTTCCTTAATGTCCATGTCCGCCATAATGATGCTCGGGTCTGTAAGAACCATCATCGTAATGAGCAGCCGACAGTTCTGTTAGTAATGAATGTGATGATAAATTACAAGCGAAGAGAAGGAAACTAGACGAAAATGCAACAAGAGATCTTACAGAGAGTGTTTCTAAATTGATGCGAAATATTTCAAGGAATGATTTTTAGCAAAAATTAAGGGGGTCTTTCACATAACTTTTTGTTCAAAACCTTCCCTACCGAGTTACAGCACTCTAAAGTTAGGCGAAAAAAGTTGTTTTTATTTAATAAATCCACTATGGAGAAATTTAGAAGAATGAAACTTTTTGACGATTTTTATAAACCGAAAATGTTATTACAAGAGTCTTCAAAAATCAAACCGTACAATACTTTGTCAGAACTTTTTAATACATCTACATTTGTCTATTTAAAAACTTGATTTAAATAGAGGGATTCAAAACGCAACTTTTTTGTCTCTTGACATTTTCTCCTAAAATTGTTAGTTCTAGTTGTAATTGTTATTCAGCGTTAGATTGTGGTATATTTTTATTGAACGAAAAGTTCGGGTTTAGCTTTGCAAGCAAAACTTTTTCTTTGCAAAACTACTCAATGCCTGGGACAGTGCAACTACATAGTAGTTTCGTAACTATGGTTACTGCATTTATATATTGCGAGTTATATGAAATTCACGGTATGTATTAATACAAGTAAAACTAAATAGAATACGTGTCTTTTAAAAATTCAGATTTATTACAAAATTTAATAGCAACTTAATCAGTACATAGCACCATTACTTATCAAACTACACAAACATAGCTGAGAGCCGTCTCCAAAAAATGTAGTTGGTTATCTGGTTAAGCCTTAATGACCCCAGTGACCCCATCCATTACCGTTCCAGCCGTTCCAACCGTTCCAGCCGTGTCCGTTCCAACCGTTCCAACCATTCCAACCGTTCCAACCGTTATTCCATCCATTCCAACCGTTCCATCCGTGTCCCCATCCGCCCCATCCCCAGTTTCCGTCCCATCCATGTCCGTTTGAGGTAGCAACTTTTCCTGATGGTCCAGCAATTACAGCACCATCAGCGCTGGCATGGACGCTTCCAGAAGCTGCATGCCAACCAGCATTGACTGCTACAATGGCAACGAAGAAAACTGCTAATGCCTATTGTTGTAAATAGAAAATAATTAAGATTAATAAAGATATGATAAAGAATTTTACTTACGAAGAACTTCATTTTGTTTGTTGTTCTCGGAGAAACCTCTAAGATCAAATTGATAACTGCCTGAAGATTGGGTCAGACTTTATAGTAAAGTAGTGACCTCGTGTTTGGTCAAAACAACAACATATGCGTTATAATAAATTCACACCCCACTAAAATAACGGGCAATAGGAAAATATCGATACACATTCACAAAAATTCTTAGGCATATTTACTATTGTAGCTAAAAATATTCCTGTTTCAATGTCAGTATTGAGTAATAATCGCGCCACTTTATCTACCTATAACGAGATATGAACCAGGTTGTTTACAACTTCAGGTGTACGCTATTGGGTAAGTTTATAGGAGGGGCTGAAAATCTAAGAAAATTTTTAGAGTATTTGTATTTATTTACATATAGCATATTAAATTTTTACGAATTTGTGTCGAGGAAATCATCGGCAATGCTAATAGATTAATAACTTAAATGAGAAAGATATGGCTTTAGAGGTAATTGTAATTACGAGTCGTTATCCTAGATATTATGCATTCAATATCAAGCATTAATTAATACTACGTTTAGTTTTATTACATTCACCGTGACCTTTGCATTTTCTACACTTGGTAATGCTAATTATTCTAGATCAATTTTTTTTCTTATTTTAATCTTAAACATATATTATTAATAAGTATATCTTGAAGTTTTGCTGTTTAAAGTCTTTTAATCTTGTAACACAATTGAAGTTGTTACACTTTTTTTATAATTTATGAATGTTATGGTATATAAATGTAATAACTTATTTTTATGTTTCTTATTTTTTGCTTCAAATGACGTGGATTCTGATAGAATCGAATATTTTCTTGAATATTGTTGAGATTGTATGGGTTAAAAATAACCTCGTGGTTAATCAATAAAATAAAACGATTATATAATGAGCTTAATATAAATAATTTATTTTTCACAAAAAGAAAATTATTTTATCAGTACATCGCACCATATACGCAAATAAAATACAATTAAACAAAGTTGTTATTAACAATCGCCAATATGGCTCTTTACAAACATGAAAGACGCTTTGTATATTATCATCTAAAAAAACAGCCAGTTCGATTTGTTTAAATTTTTGTTAATGTCCATGTCCGCCATAATGATGCTCTGGTCTGTAAGAACCATCATCGTAATGAGCAGCGCTGTTTTCAGGAACCCATTGTCCTTCGTGTCCATTTCCTGCCCATCCACCGTGACCTCCCCAAGCTCCAGCACCTCCCCATCCACCAGCCCATCCAGCTCCACCCCAACCTCCCCAACCGCCGGCTCCATGTCCAGCCCAACCGCTGTGGTCTCCATGGTTTGAGGTAGAAACTTTTCCGGATGGTCCAGCGATGACTGAGCTACCATCTCCAGCTACGGAGACAGCTCCAGATCCAGGTCCGTACCATTTACCACCAGCGTGGTCACCTCCCCAACCACCCCATCCTCCATGACCGCCCCATCCTCCATGTCCACCCCATCCTCCAGCTGCTACAGCAGCAATTGCAGCGAAAAGAACAACCTAATAATAATAATTAATAATTGTAAAATTAAAAATAAATGATTTTATTAGTTATACTCACGAAGACTTTCATGTTTGATTGTTACTCAAATTGTTGCTTGTACAAATTGATACTAGGATCTTGGTTTCGTTCCCTTTTATACCCAACAATTGACCTCGCAAAGACTTGGAATTGACTTGTGCCCCGAACAAAATAACAGACCGTTACAATTACATTGATTTTTTTTCTAAAACATTGAAACGTAGAGAATGTTGGGAAATAATGCGAAGGTCGAGCATGGTTTAACACCAAAGGCCAGAAAATATAATCCGCACGATTTGCCGAGTTGAGAACGACCGCATTGGTATTGTACACGGATCGTTGACCCATTGTACCCGTGACCCATTACGCGTTGCACCTTGACTTTCATCTTCAATGAAGAAGTAATTTGAACTTGAACTCTTCTTGCCTTATAGTATAATGTCAGCACAGAGAGATTTAATAGGTATTCTTCAATGAAAATTCATTACGTTGTTAATTACGTAATTTATAACACAACAAAAAATTTAATATAAATAATAAGTCTTTTTAAATCTATTAGATTACTTTTTGTGTGTGTGTTATTATTGTTATAAATAAAACGATATCAAGGTTTCTTTATAAAAGTGAAATAAACAGGATCTATTTTTTACCAACAAAATAAAACAATCATTTGTGTGTTTATCACAATTCTTTAATCTTAAAACGTAACATATATTTAAATCCAATTGGAACCTCTTCATATAACAAATTTTCGGTTCAAATAAACAACGTAATTCATGAAGTCTTAAGTAAATTGAACTACCACCAGTGGCCACCATGATCGCCAGCACCATGATGTTCAGGTCTGTAAGATCCATCATCGCTACCATCAGGTCCCCAAGCGCCATCATGACCACCCCAAGAACCATCATTTCCATCCCAAGATCCATCACCACCATCCCAAGATCCATCTCCACCATCCCAAGCACCGCTATCTCCGTCCCAAGATCCATCATTCCAGGATCCATCATTCCACGATCCGTCATTCCAGGATCCGTCATTCCAAGATCCATCGTTCCATGATCCGTCGTTCCATCCACCATTCCATGCGCCGTTCCATCCTCCGTTCCAGCCACCCCATCCGTGCCAACCTGCACCCCATGGGCCAGCTCCACCAACGTGAACAGCTCCAGGTACTACTCCAGCGTGGATTCCTCCTACTGCTCCAATCCAACCTGCTTGAGCGGTCGCTATGACCAGCAAAAGGAAAGCGAATATCTAAAAGAGAAAAATTATTTAAAGAAAAAGTGTCGAAGAAAAGTAATTAAAGAAAAAGTAAAAAGAAATGCTTTTCTTACACTCTTCATAATTGGCGTTGGTGGATTAATTATTGTATGTTGTCTAGTGGACTGATAGCACACTGATGGGTGCGATGTTGTTTTATATGGATAATGTGACCTCGCACACGCCCAAGAATCCAGATGGCTTGTTGGGTGGTGTTCTTTGTGGTGATACAATTATTCTTTTCTAATGACATTTAAGTGAGATTTTGCATTTATGCGCGATAAGCAAGTCAGTAGAGCGGAAATATCATTGGAATTTACAATTATTTAATTAGTTATTTTTATTGCAATTTAATAATTTTATTTTATAACCATCATTAACCCACAGTCTACACATCATCATATACAACAACAAACAACACCTACATCCAATAACCCTACTTAATCTTAAAATTAATCTATAATTTTAAGATGAAAGCAACAAGAGAAATGTAATTAAAATAAGGTGTGACAAAAATAAAAACGTACGTCAAGTATAATTTATGATTTCAATTTTAACATTAAAAAGGTAACTGTCTGTGTGCATAGAATTGAATATTTAATTGTAATGAATAATTATGTAGGTTTGGAAATGATTTATGATGCAATATATTCATTGTTTTCATGATTTCGCTTTTGTCAATATGGAATTAAGCCGGTCTATACGAGTCGTCCTCCACCCGAAATGGAAGAAATGATAACATTTACAATGTCCCTAAATTCTTAGCATTAACCTCTACATCAGGAGAACTATCGAACCTTATTCTACATACCAATGATGATCCTGATAAAAAGCGTCAAATAAGTCATTGGTTTTACAAAAAAGCATGCATTCGCCTTGCTTGAGGTTTGTGCCCTAAACCGAGTTTTAGCTTGAAACTCAGACTTTGATCATGACGTGCTATTATTGTGAGAAATTGGAGATTCTTGGTGTGGCAGATGGTGCAAAATACATTGAGATTTCTCTTTCATAGATGAATTTCAGACTAACAGATATGGTACTGGTAGATCTAGAAGGTAGAAACGTAAAAAATAAAGTCTGACAAATTTCTAATATATCTAATAGAAAATATGTATACTACGAGGTTAGGTTGGTTTGTAATGGGGTTAGGTTAGTTTGAAATTGGTTTGGATTTGAATTAAGATTAATCTATACTGGGTTAAATTGGCTTCTTTGTTGTATTTGCTTGTTGTAGAATTATGCTACTTAGTGCTTTCTGATTAGCTTGCTTTGGACAGTGGGGTTAGGTTTATATTTGGGTTAGTTTGCTGGATTCGATTGCTAAGAATTGAATCGGGTTGCCAAAGCAATGCAACTCAACTGAATGTCAACCTCAAATTTAAATAAATTTGGGTTGGATTGGAGGTTGGATTGCTTTGAGCTTGGGATTAAAAATACTTAGAACTCGTACAAATAGAATTGAAATACTTAGAACTTGAATTAAGTTACTTTGTGTGTATTTAGGTGGGCTCGAATTTGTGATAACTTGGCACAACATCCACAAACTATCGATTTTCCTGGTAAACTTATTCCTTGAATCCTCTACGATCTAGAATCTCAACCCAACCCAAACCAACACAACCCTTTTTTTTTAAAGAGGTCGAGGAAAACCTGCTATAGAAACAGCCTGCTCTACCAGTGTTTTCCGATCATCTAGATTCCCATTCCTCTATTACTTGTGCTGTGACTTCGTGTTTGTCGGTCTGGGCTGCATTTCTTTTTTTGGCCATCAACTCTATGGGGAACTTGCTTGGGGAGCATTGCAAGCAGTGCTTCGCTGGATACGGTTCTACAGGAACTAGTCACTCTAATCATAATTCTTTTTTGGATTCTGCTAAACTTGTCCACCACTTTTTTGGTTACATCCATACAGTATTTGGAAATAAACCACCGAGCTGATTAATTTCCTCGTTTCTTCTCTAGGACCATAGGTCGAGCCCATTACTCTGTGTAGAGCATTTACAGTTTTTTGAGTTTTTTGTAACATATTCTGTGTGTTTTTTAATATTTATTGTCACCTCGTCTTTACATTTCCTGCTACTTCGTAATATCGCTTCCGTTTTTTTTCCGAAGAGATCTGCAGGGCAATTTTCTCAAGTTGTAGGTTTTCAATCTCCCAGCTGTTTACCACTACGGTAAGATCGTCAGCATAGGCAACCCAGTTTCCGTTCATCAAAATCGTCTCGCTGATCTTTTACCAAAATCTGATCAAAAAATGCATTCCATAAAGAGGGTCCAGGATCGATTCCTGTGGAACTCCTTTGTTAGTCGGATATCCTTGCCCTCATATTCAACAGAACGCTCACTCAGATGGCTTTTGACAGTATTTACGAGATTCTTTGATACTCTCTTCTGTCAATCAACGCAACCCAACCCAACTCAACCTAACCCAATCCAACATAATCCAACAAAATGCCATGGTATAGTCGATCAAGCGGACTCCTCTGGTAATCGGACATTCCTTGCCCTCATATTCAACAGAATGCTCACTCAGATGGCTTTTGACAGTATTTACGGTATTCTTTGATACTCTCTTCTGTCAATCAACGCAACCCAACCCAACTCAACCCAACCCAACCCAACTCAACCTAACCCAACCCAACATAATCCAACGAAAAGCCATGGTACAATCGATCAAGCGTACATATCCTATGAAGAACCCCAAATTTGTTACAGTTGGCCACATCTCCACAAAGTCATGCTGCGATGAAGAAGTGAAGCTTTTACACCAGATATACATAAGTGCATAAGATATTACTTTCAATTCCAAGAATGTTGGCCCTGATTACATTAGAACAGTCAAGTACAGAAATAATGTTAAGAACGATGTTGAGACCAAAATTGAAAAAGTAGTTATCACCCAACCTTGTGTATCACTGCATGCTCCGAAGTAAACTAATTACTTACAGATACCATTAACAATCATTAAAACAAACCGATTTATCTCTCAAATCAGTGCTTATTACTGTTTGCAAAGTATTTTGTGTAGTCCTATACAAAATCCTTTATCATTAGGTTTAAAAAAGAAGCGGTGTCTTTTCTACATTATTAAGAATGTTAATCCCAAGATTAATCTCAATAAGATCAATACCATTAGACTAAGAATTTGTAAAATAACACAAATCAGTGTTAATATAAAAACTAAATAATTACATGTAATAATTTATTTATGCACATAAAAACATAATTACAAACTATAGAAAAAACACAGTGTCATCAGAATAATACAATGGCAGTCGTCTAATTAAACATTTTCACGTAAAGCTCATTTACGCTTAAGCGTTTAATTTTTTTACAAATTAATGTAAGGAATAATGATGTTCGGGTCTGTACGATCCATCATCGTACAAATGTTCAGAAATATCTGGAACGTAACCACCATCATGTCCAGCACCTAATCCAAGACCACCGAGTCCTAGTCCAAGACCGAGACCACCGGCGTAGTGTCCTCCGACAGCGTGTCCGTAAACGGTACCAGATGGACCAGCGATGACAGCACCACCAGCGTGTCCTAATGCACCATGAGCAAGAGGAGCAATTGGTGCTACAAAACCAACTCCTCCAACAGCAACATGTCCTGGACTTACAGCACCGCTTACAACACCTCCGGGAATTGGAGCAGCGTTTACAACTCCACCATGGGCTCCACCAACGACGTGGCTACCATCTGGACCAACAACAGATGCTTTGGCTGAAGGACCAGCGATGACTGCTCCTGGATTAGCGGGACCAACTAATGATCCACCATAATGACCAGCGTTAGCTGCTGCGAGGGTTACTAAGAAAATGGCAACCTAAAAAAATTCAATAATTTTTTTTTAATAACTTAATTAAATTTTTTTTTAATGAACTTACGATGGTTTGCATGTTGAATGTGGGAAGTGAACAATCGACTGATGCTAACCACGTGGTCTTGAAACTATTTTATACCACAAGTTTGACCTCCAACAATTTTTCTTTCTCCACTTCGTGAATCCGCGACTTCAAAAGAAGGCGTGAAGCATACGAACTTGAAAAAAATGCGAAAATCCCTCAAAAACGTATTACCACTTCGATTACGAATAGGGTGTGGTTAGAACAGTTTTTTTTTTCTCAACCAACGTTAACGACCAGCGTGATTTTTATGATTAATATTAATTTATAGTCAGAAAAAAAATACGGACAAAGTGCTCCTAACAACCTTGTGGTCGCGCAATAGAAAGTATAGGGTGGAGACAAACCTACTTGGTAGTTACTGTGACATTAAAACATGTTCACGCAAGTAAAGGAATGTGTAATTATACGCATTTATTAGAATAATGCGTATCCGTATTACTCCTACTAATTGTAATAAAAATTAATGCTCATTTTATTTTTAAAATCATAAAATGGAACCATTTTTATTATGATTAAGAGAATTATATTAGATTTTATTATACATTAAATCATGCATTACCATTGAAGTCATTAATATAAATTGTCAGCGACCTTATATGGTCACACGACAAGAGAGATCAATCACACCGATTTAAATAATAAACTCGACAGTTGCAACAAGCCGGTTGTAACCCTGTGAGGCAGTGAACCAAGAAAAACATAAGTGCAACGTTCCTTCAAGACTATGGTATCTAAGAATTGGTGCATAAATCACGTTACGAACGGATATTAAATCCCACACCACCACATTCCATGCAGTAGTAAATGTTTATTAATGCTTTATACACATTGTATCCACTTAATTTTTTATACAATACGATATTTCTAAGTTATGAACTCGACGTGTACCATAAAAATTCATTTATCAAAGAAATCGTGATTGAAGGAACTCATTAATTACTTTAAGAGTTGTATATGTAACAATAACGACCAACACCCATCCACTACTTTTTTTTGCAAGAACGAGTGGTGAGGTGGCATTGAGTTCTATCCAACCTTGAAAGATTTAAAAGACAATTATAATCGAAGTAATACCACCGAGAACTTCCCTATTTGCTGTCGTTATAAATTTAACAAAAAACTCATGGTATTTATCACGGTTGAGTTAGCACACGTACTCATGGAATTCGAAACCCAACCTTATAAAATTTATAAATTGTATAAGGTTAAGTATTTAGAAAAAGTAATGATTGTGTTTAGTTCTTGACAACACCCAAAGAATTTGTTAAGAGTTTGTTAACATTTAGATTGATCCTGTTCACGATTTCCAACATGGAGCTTTCACCTCATTTCATACAAACATGGTGTTGTTTTACAACGTATTTATTTTAAATTTCTTCCTTGACATTCGATCATTTGTGAACTTGCCACAATTTACGAGCTCGTAATAATATAATGAAATAATCACGTTACGTGAATACAATGATTTGAATATCCGTGAATTAAATTGCTTATTTATGTAAATTAATTCATAATAGATTAGAATAATTAATATGTTTTGTTCTTTACCGTAAGAGAATCATTTATCGTTATCAATCTTGATTTTATCTTTTTTTGTTTGAAATGAAACAAAATGTTTTTCTTTATGAAGAGGTTGAGCATTTATTTATTTATTCACATTTTTTTACAATCGATTATTTTCACAATAAATGAAAAGTCACAATCAATTACAATAACCATTTAAGGGCTTAACGTGTCGAACACAACGGAGGCATCTACCAGTAAGAGAGGAGGGAGCAAAGTTTAAAAAAAAGACGAAGGGAGCAATAGAAAGTAGGAGGTAATGGTTAATTTTACCATTTACCATCCATGCCAACCACCGTGCCATCCTCCCCATGGACCACCCCAAGCGGTTGGTGCTACAGCGCCACCCCAACCTCCCCATCCCCATCCACCGTGTCCAACAGCGATTCCTCCAGGGGCGACGGCTCCAGTTACAACACCTCCGGGAATTGGAGCAGCAGCGACAGCTCCAGCATCACCACCACCGGATACAACACTGCCATCAGGTCCAACAACGGTACCACCAGCAGCTGGTCCTTTGATAGCTGCTCCTGGGTTTCCGGGACCAACAAGGGCTCCTCCCCAGAGACCAGCATGAGCATAGGCTAAGCCTACTACGAAAAGTACTGCGGCCTAAGTGAAATAAAAGTTAGAATTTGAAGAAGATTTGATTTGGATCAATCTTACCAAGGTATTCATGTTTTCCTTAGATGACAGTTCAGATGTGACTATGCCTCTAAGCAGCACCCCAAACAGTTTATATAGCTGGTAGAAGGAACAATTAACCTTCGAACAAAACGAGAAGAGAGTTGATCGAAGGAGTTTTCATTTATTTATTTAAATGTTATGCTGTTGCGGTGCGGGACATAAACAGTTTTCTAGCTTTTTCTAACGCCCTACGGCATATGTGGGGCGCGGCTTCTTTGTTTGGTGAAGTTCACGGTCGATGACTGAAAAATGGAAAACGCCTTTGATACGGGACCCACCCTGTTTGTGATTGCGGAAAAATTCTAAATACCCAAGTAGAAGAAAATTTATGGTCACAAGGAAATAAATTTTTATTCTACATTATCTAAACTCAATAAACCAATTAAAATAATTAGAATATTTTGCATCCATATAAATAAATACTGAGATTAATGTATTTGTTGTCCCATAAATTTTCTTTTAGATACCCATTATAAGAAATGGGTTGACATTTCTCCATTACAATACAATGGTATATATGGGCGTTTCCCTTTCATATCTCATTCTAATACCTGAAAAAAACTCCCCTGTTTGCGGACACAATAAATATATTCTAAACCAGTTTATGGATTTTTAAAAATAAGGCTTATGAACGAAGTACAGAGTGAATTATATGAATCAAATTCGTAATAAAATTGAGTTGAGTTGATGAGATATTAATTTGAATATTCATTGGTTGGGTGCGTTTGTCGTTATTTAAATAAGATATGAGTTAATAACAACCAGATACGTATTATTAATATTTCCTAAAAATTACTAATTTAGTTGGGTTAAATTTTAAAATTAAAATATTCTTTATTATTAACTAATCGCATAATTTGTCACCACAATACAAATTTTCGTTATGGCTAAAAGTGAAAGTAAATAGATGCAAAAGTCCAATCTAAATCCCACCCTGACTATTCTAGATTCAAAGGCAATCCACGTGCAATCTCCTTATTATTTCAAACCCACAAGCATTTGTAACTACAACATGTAATCGATATTTTCTCTCATTATTGGTAAGTATCGAACATTAATAATCTAACTAATATTTCTCCAATTAATTTCTTTTTAGAAACACAGTGAAACCTCGACATATTATTTTAATATTTTTTAGTCAGCAATTATAGAAGTTTCTTTATTTCATGTTCATAGATAAACTCGGGGTATTCCCCGAATTGTTTATACGTTTGAAGACGCACAGTGTAAATTTGTGTGCATTAAAATTATTGTTATAAAGAACATTTGGCTATAACGAACATCACGGTATTAATCCGAGGTTTTACTGTAAAACGATTGTAATTCAAACAATGCTAAAAATGTAATTGATTTAAATAGAAATAAGCACAATTGTAGGTAAAATTTATAAAATAAAACTCAAATTTTAAATTTTTTATTTATTTAATTTTGTTAGAAAATTTTCAAGATTAACTTTAAAAAACTGTAAGAAAATAATGTCTAGAACCGATATAAGCCTGTACTCGTAATTTGACTGTTGTCCTTCTGAAGATGGTTTAATGTAAACCGAAACCGGTAAAGGAAGTAAAAATAAAGAAAATTCCATTGTAAAGTACAATAAATTTAATTTAATCATCCACAATGGAAAGAAAGTTTAACAATTTCAACAATTGTAGGTAAGTTTTAATTTTAATTTTAAAATTTTAAATGGTTAATTAAAAATTTTCGACTGATCACAGAGTAGTAAGAACCGCAACTAAATTCAGGCAATAAGAAGTTATGCCCTTTCGCTGTTTGCATCTATATTATTATTTTAAAATAATTGGAAAATCGTATGTCAAGGACGAATTAAGATAAATTGATGAAATAGCAAACATTTAAAAGGTTATTTAACTCAGATTTAATGTGCCATTAATTATTTCTTATTTTCAACAAACCTCGTTGTTATGATTTTTTAAACCCAACTCTGCAAATTTAATTGTTATAATAATAATAAGCATTTAAAAGAGATCGTATCTCAAGAACACATTAAGATATTTTGATGAAATAGCGAACATTTTGAAGGTGACTAACCACAGATTTCGTGTGCCATTAATTATTTCTTATTATCGATAAACCTCATTGTTATGATTTTCTAAACCCAACCTTGCTTATTAAATTGTTAGAAACGTTAAGAGCAAAAATTAAAAAAATCGTATCTCAAGAACGAAATTAGATATTTTGATGAAATAGCAAACATTTTGAAGGTTATTTAACACAGATTTAGTGTGCCATTAATTATTTCTTATTTCCCATTAACCTCGTTGTTATGATTTTTTAAACCCAACTGTGCGTATTAAATTGTTAGAAACGTTACGAGCAGAAATTTAAAAAATCGTATCTCAACAACTAAATGAGATATTTAGATGAAATAGCGTACATTTTGAAGGTCATTTAACTCAGATTTAGTGTGCCATTAATTATTTCTTATTATCCATAAATCACGTTGTTATGATTTTTTAAACCCAACTCTGCATATTAAATTGTTAGACACGTTACGAGCAGAAATTTAAAAAATCGTATCTCAAGAACTAAATGAGATATTTTGATGAAATAGCGAACTTTTTGAAGGTTATTTAACACAGATTTAGTGTGCCATTAATTGTTTCTTATTATCCATAAACATCGTTTTTATGATCTTTTAAGCCCAACTCTGCACATTTAATTGGAAATGTTAAGAATGGAAGTTTAAAAAATCATATCTCAAGAACGAAATGAGATATTTTGATGAAATAGCAAACATTTTGAAGGTTATTTAACACAGATTTAGTGTGCCATTAATTGTTTCTTATTATCTATAAACATAGTTGTTATGATTTTTTAAGCCCAGCTCTGCATATTAAATTGTTAGAAACGTTAAGAGCAAAAATTTAAAAATCGTATCTCAAGAACTAAATGAGGTATTTTGATGAAATAGCGAACAGTTTGAAGGGTATTTAACACAGATTTAGTGTGTCATTAATTATTTCTTATTTTCCATAAACATCGTTGTTATGATCGTTAAAACCCAAGTATGCACAATAAATTGTTAGAAACGTTACGAGCAGAAATTTAAAAAATCGTATCTCAAGAACGAAATGAGATATTTTGATGAAATAGCGAACATTTTCAAGCTTATTTAACACAGATTTAGTGTGCCTTTAATTATTTCTTATTATCCATAAACATCGTTGTTATGACTTTTTAAACCCAACTCTGCACATTTAATTGTTAGAAATGTTAAAAATACAAAATTTAAAAAATCATATCTCAAGAACGAATTGAAATATAATAATGAAATACCCAACATTTTTAAGGTTATTTAACACAGATTTAGTATGCCGTTAATTATTTCTTATCATCTATAAACATCGTTGTTATAATTTTTTAAACAAAACTCTGTACATTAAATTGCTAGAAACGTTACGAGCAGAACTTTAAACAATCGTATCTCAACAACGAATTGAGATATTTTGATGAAATAGCAAATATTTTGAATGTTATTTACCACAGATTTAGTGTGCCATTAATTATTTCTTATTTTCCATAAGCATCGTCGTTATGATTTTTTAAACCCAACTCTGCATATTTAATTGTTATATTAAGATAGAAATTTAAAAGATTGTATGTCAAGAACGAATTGAGATATGATAATGAAATAAAAAAGCATTTTAAAGTAGATTTAATCAAGATTTAATAAAGCATACATAATTTTTTATTTCCCAAAAACCTCGTTATTATGAATTTTTAAACCCAACTCTGCAAATTTGATCACTATAAATTTGAAAAACAGAGTTTTAAAACATCATATCTCAAGAACGAATTGAGATATCATGATGGTATGGCGAACATTTTGAAGGTAATGTATTAGAGATTTAGTGTACCATTAATTATTTATTAATTTCCGTAAATATCGTTGTTATGATTTTTTAACCCCAACTCTGCCCGACCTAGTAACAAATTTGAATCCTTTCTTTGGTTATTGTTAAAAAAATCGTAATAAATTAAGGTTTTAATAAATCGCTTTCAATGAAAAAGATCACATTTGGAAATATCATATTGTTTTTCAGAGCTGACGTCACGAACGGTCCTTCGATCTGTATACCTGTCTGATTTAAATATAAATAGAAGTATAAATAGAAGTACACTTGTAGGTAAGTTATTTTAATATTTCGATAACAAATGGTTTTCTTCTGAATCACACAAAAAAGAAATTAATTTTTCTAAAAACACTTTCATTAGAAGACTTCTTTCGTTTGAAATTTGAATAATATCATCATGACAACTTTCCGAATCGTTATCGTAGTTATTAACGAATACACTAGTAATTAAACTGAACGCGAGCACTTTCATTCCACAACGTTTCGCCGCTAATACTTCCGGTACAATACACATACCAATAACATCAACGTTACGAGCATTTAAAAACTTCACTTCAGCAACTGTTGCATAATTCGGGCCGGTTAAATACGCGTAAGTTCCTACGTGTAGTTTATCTTGGAATTCGAGATCTTTAGTTAAGATATCTTTTGATTTTAAAAGAAGTTTTTTGTCGTAAATTGGGCAGTGATTTGCAAATTTGGGTCCACTTTTCTCGTTCAACGGTTCATCCACGGGATATAAATCGGGGAATCCCATCAAATAAACATGTTTGTTGATTAATATGATATCTCCAGGTTGATATTTTGTGTTTATAGCAACTCCAGTATTTCCCAAAAATAAATAATCAACTCCCAAAGCTTTTAAGATGTGTATCATCATCGTGCATTGTCTCGAAGTGTACCCCTGGTATAAATGCAACTTCCCTTGAACAATCAAAATCGGAAGCTTATGGAAGTAACCAAAAATTAATTGATGCGATTTCTTCGACACAACTTTCGGGAAATTTGGGATTTCATGGTAAGGTATACAACAACACCGCCTTATTGTTAAAATTTCAGAAACGATATCAAGATCAGAACTACACATTATTGCTATTTTAACCACATCTTTTATTTTTCCTGATACATACTTCGCAGCTTCCTCAACAGCATGTACCCTAAATACAAAAAAAAATACAAATTAAACCACACCTAATTAATTTACATACGTTATTCCATCGTCTCCACTCATCTTCAAAATTATTAACTATAAATTTAGATTATTAAATTTAGAATGATGACAATTTTTTGATTTGTCAAATTTCTTACTCGAAAGAAGGCTAATAACCTGTCAAAAAACACCTGGCCCAAAATTATTTTTAAAAATACTTTTGGCATCAAAATTGTTGAGTGGTAACATCTAGATCAAAATGACCGAAAAACTAGAAGAATTAGTAGAACCATATCAAGAAATACAAGTTGAAGGAGATAAATCTAAGACTAAATCTACCCTTACGTAATTTGTAAAATAATAATTTATGTAATAATAGAAAATATTACTTTTTAGGTATGAAGAAATTGAAGATTGTGCCAAGTTTATAAAGGAAGCTACAAATACAACTGCTAAAATTGCAGTTATAGCTGGATCATCAATGGGTAGGTTTAGTTTAATATAGCGTTGTGATGAAAAGTTTTAACTGATCATAGAGTAGTAAAAACTACAATTCATGCAATAAGAAATACAAAGAAGTTGAAAATATTCCAATTAATCATGCCCTTTCTATGTTTGCATCTACGTTCTTAATATAAAAATATTTTGAAAATCGTATCTCAAGAACGAAATGAGATATAAAGATAAAATAGCTAACATTTTGAAGGTAATTTAACTCAGATTTAGTGTGCCATTAGATATTTCTTATTATCCATAAACATCGTTGTTATGATTTTTTAAGCCCAACTCTGTATGTTTAATTGGAAATGTTAAGAATAGAAGTTTAAAAAATCGTGTCTCGAGAACGAAATGAGATATTTTGATGAAATAGCGAACATTTAGAAGGTTATTTAACACAGATTTAGTGTGCCATTAATTATTTCTTATTATCCATAAACCTCGTTATTATACATTTTTAAATACAACTCTGCAAATTTGATTGCTATAAATTTGAAGACTAGAGATTTAAAAAATCGTATCTCACGAACGAATTGAGATATCATGATGATATTGCGAACATTTTAAAGCAAATTTAATAAATATTTAATGTGCCATAAATAATTTCTTGGTTTCCATAAACTTTAATGTTATGATTTTTTAAACTGAACTCGACATCTTTATTAATATTTTAAAAATAGAAATTTGAAAAGTCATATCTCAAGAGCGAATTGAGATATCACCATGAAATAACAAACATTTTAAAGCAAATTTAATAACGATTTAATAAGCCATAAATTATTTCTTATTTCACATAAACCTGGTTGTTGTCATTTTCTAAACCCACCTCTGCATGTTGCATTGTTATGCATTTAATGAATAAACATTTAAAATGTTGTATCTCCAGAACAAATTGTGATATGATGATGAAATAACGAACATTTTAAAGCAAATTTAATGAATATTTGATGTGCCATAAATAATTTCTTGGTTTCCATAAACTTTATTGTTATCAGTTTTAAACTAAATTCAACATCTTTATTAATATTTTAAAAAGAGAAATTTAAAATGTCATATCTCAAGAACGAATTGAGATATCACCATGAAATAACAAACATTTTAAAGCAAATTTAATAACGATTTAACGTGCCATAAATGCTTTCTTATTTTCCATAAACATCGGTGTTATGATTTTTTAAACCCACCTCTGCACATAATTGTCATAAATTTGAAGAACACAGTTTTAAAAACTCGTATCTCAAGAACGAATTGAGATATCATGATGATTTTGCGAACATTTTGAAGGTAATTTATTGGAGATTTAGTGTACCATTAATTATTTCTTAATTTCCGTAAATATCGTTGTTATGACTTTTTAACCCCAACTCTGCCCTACCTAATAATAAATTAAAACCCTTTTTTTGGTTATTATTAAAAAAAATCGTAATAAATCAAGGTTTTAATAAATCGTTATGAAATTATCAGCGATTATAAATAAAAGCATAAGCTTTTCAATAAAAAAGATCACATTTCGAGATACCTTTCAGTTTTTGAGATATGAATTTTTAATGTCAATCGGTTCTTTATATATTTTGAGCCTTCAATACATTTAGTGCATACATAATACAACAATCGTTAATTTTTGAAGTAAAAATTATTTTCTTAGATACTTTGGGTTTAAATGTAACAGAAGCAACGACCATTCAGTACGAATTAATTCCACATTTCCCAAGAAGTGAATCATCTATTGGTAAAATCATCGCAGGTAATATGGAGAACACACCAGTTTTGATTTTTAAAGGACGGTATCACCTTTATGATGGTTACACGATGCAAGAATGCACCATGCATATAAAAGTTTTAAAATTACTCGGTGTTAAGGTTTTAATTATAATTAATACTTCCGGGGGAATTAATCAAGATTACAAAATCGGGGATATAATGTTGGTTAAAGACCATATAAATTTACAAGGATTTGCAGGACAAAATCCTTTAATTGGTCCAAACGATGAACGATTTGGACCTAGATTTATTCCGATGAATAAAGTGTACGATAAAGATTTATTGGGGAAAGCGAAAAAAATTTTAGATGAAATTGAATTTGAAGGGATGATTCACGAAGGAGTGTACGCAACAGTTTCCGGGCCAGCTTATGATACGATATCAGAAAATCTGTTTTTAAAAACTTGTGAAATTGATGCTGTTGGATTGACGATAATTCCCGAAGTTTTAGTTGCTAAACATAGCGGAATGTCCATCGTAGCTTTCTCAATAATAACAGATCAAGAAATTGTGGATGAAAATAACGATAAAGAATTTAATCACGAGGAAATGATTGAAATTTGCGATAAAAGAACAAAACAACTCAATGAATTCTTAGAAAAATTTGTTAAAATTGCTGTCTTATCTAAGGAAGAGGGGGATATTGAATGCGGGGGTGATGAAATCATCACAAAATCTTCCAAACGAATACGTTGTAAATGTAATAATCTTAATTGATCTATTTTAATAAAAAAATTTGAATTATTTGCTTATGTTTATTTTAATTTAATCAATATTATAAATACATTTTAATTAACCGTTTACCATCCATGATGACCATAACCGTAACCATGATCTCCAATTACTGAGTGTCCAAATGCAACAGGTACAGCATGAACGGGAATAGGCGCGTGATCAATTACAGCACTGCTATATGAAACAACTTTACTAATAGCTGGTGCAGCTACAGCAATTGGAGCTATAACTGGAGCAACAACTGGAGCTGCATGAGCTACTATTGGAGCTGCATGAGCTACAACAGGAACAGTTTGTGCAACATATCCCGGTTCTACATGAGCAGATACAACTCCTCCTGGATGTCCATCACTGACTACAGCACCTGCATCAGCAGCAGCATGAATAACACTTCCATCAGGACCTGCAACGACAGCTTTTGTAGCTGGTCCTTTTACAATCGCCGCTGGTTCAGCTGGACCAGCTACAACGGCTCCGATTGCGTGTGAGTAAGCTGTGGAGATGATTCCAGCGAAAAGAATGAACAAAAACTGAGAATAAACAAAAATAAATTAGATTATTTATTTAGGTTAATCCATATTGATTGAATAATATAAGTTGTGGTCTTACCGAGGAGTTCATGGTGATTGAGTGTTCTGGTAAACCGCAAATAGTTTGTAATTAGATCGGGTTGGACGCCGTCGTTTATATACCAAGTTAAATTCGAAAAAGTAGAACCTTGAGGCGAAGGTATTCGCGGTTGAAGGTTGGTTTAAACTTCCGTTTGGCGCGAGACTTTTGTTTATCACGAAATGTGATTTAAATAAAAGTGTTTAGTCACGATTAATTAAAAATACTCTCATTTGAGGATTTAATTTTATGTGGTTATAAAAAATTAATTTCCTTTTTATTATTTACACATTTATTAAAAAATATAAAATATACATTAGAATTGTACTGAATCCTGGTCGTTATATGTACATTAGCACCATTACGCAGAAAGTGATATTATTTACCATTTTCCGTCACCTCTCCATGAGCCATCATCACCGTCCCAGCTGCCGTCATCTCCTTTCCAGGATCCATCATCACCACCCCATCTTCCATCGTTCTAACGTTCATCATTCCAGCCATTCCAACCGTTCCAAGCTCCTACACCATTCCAGCCGTTATTCCAACCGTTCCAGTCTCCTCCTTTCCATCCACTCCATCTTCCTCTCCAGTTATTACCAACTATAGTTCCTGAAGATCCAGCAACTACAGTACCTTTACCACCCCATCCTACTGTTCCTGCATTTACGCATTAAACAGCAATAGCAAGGAAAGTTGCAATCAAGGTTATAAAAAATTAATTTCCTTTTTATTATTTACATATTTATTAAAAAATATAAAATATACATTAGAATTGTACTGAATCCTGGTCGTTATATGTACATTAGCACCATTACGCAGAAAATGATTTTATTTACCATTTTCCGTCACCTCTCCATGAGCCATCATCACCGTCCCAGCTACCGTCATCTCCTTTCCAGGATCCATCATCACCATCCCATCTTCCATCGTTCCAACGTCCATCATTCCAGCCGTTCCAACCATTATTCCAGCCATTCCAACCATTCCAACCATTATTCCAGCCGTTCCAACCGTTCCAAGCTCCTACACCATTCCAGCCGTTATTCCATCCGTTCCAGTCTCCTCCTTTCCATCCACCCCATCCACCCCAACCTCCCCATCCTCCTCTCCAGTTATTAGCAACTACAGTTCCTGATGGTCCAGCGACTACAGCACCTTTACCACCCCATCCTGTTGCTCCTGCATTTACGCAGTAAACAGCAATAGCAAGGAAAGTTACAATCTGAAAATGCAAAAAGAATTGTTTGATTAAAATAGAGAGATAAAGAATTTAGACTTGAGTACATTGACCTGAGTTTAAGTTTATGTTACAATAGTTGGGTTAAGAAAAAAAATGAGGGTATTGTATAACTAAGGCGGTGTTTCTGTGGGCGTTTAATTGATGCCGGTAAGTTATAAAAGTTAAAGTGACATAATTATGGTATTCAATAAAGCGTAGATTTAAGAAATCGAAAACTTGATATTAAACTTATCCTAACAAAATAAAGTACTCCTAGATTATTTAAAATAATAAGTTGTAAACAACAAAATAATGATAATAATTGATGATCTTACCAGAAGTTTCATGTTGCTCACTTTGTTACAATCACAAGTGTACTGATAACGACAACTCGCCCATTGCTGGTATTTATACTAGTTATTACAAATACTTAACCTTCATAGCCAACCTCATAACACCACCCATATAGGTTGCGTATGGTACAATTTTTTACGAAAAATTTCTCCAATCAACAGTATCCCTCTACATCTCTCTAATTCACGGTGTTATCGTATTTTCCCTCTCGATTAATCCAATTAAAATATTTACGGTTGCAGGTTGACCGTGGCTAATTCATTTGTAATTGTTGTTTATGATAATTTTGTTTATTAATAAAACGTATCGAACTGGGTGTGTTTGTCATAATCCATAAATATGAGGGGTGATTTTTATTGTTTTCCTAAAATAGGTTGAAAAGAATGAACATGAGCTATTTTTAAAACGATCTGTTTGTTTAAAAAAAAATTAATCACTGAAATGTAGTAATAAAATGATGTTAGATAGGATGATGAAATCTATTAAGATATTAGTATATATTGTAATGTTTATATTTCTATTGTAATATTAATTTTTCTACTTTTTTACCAAAGTTGAAGTTGCATTAGAAATTGCAAGTAGCTGCTATATTCCTTAATACTTTTTTTTTAAACTGATACTGCTTAGAGAGGATTAGATACTGGTATCTATATACTGGATGTTGTTGATAGAGGATTAGATTAGGTTAATTTTTTGCAAGTAGTGTCTAGTCCTGCATTAGCAGCATCTAGTCATCTGCCAGAATTCTTAATTCTGCTGGCAGAGGACTAGAAACTGCTAATGGAGGACGACACACTACTTGTAGAAAATTACCTACTCCTTGCAGAAGACTAGAAACTGCTCACTAAATACTCTATATTGCTTTCAAAGTACTAGATGCTTTTGTATGAGGACTAAATACTGCTAATTCTTATTTCAGAAAACTAAAACAACTTGCAGAAGATTAGAAACTGATAAAAACACTAAGAAGGACCTTCTTGTCTTGTTCCAGCAATATTTAGTCTTTTGCAAGTGGTATACAGTTCTGATCCAGAAGATTAAAAACTGTTTTCAGAATACTTGATGCTACTCACACAAGACTTCTGCGAATATAAGACTGAATACCTACTACTAATACAAGACTTTTCTACTATTTTTTACTTCTACAAGAAGAAAATCTTTTGAGTGTAAGAATTTATCCCAGGGTCAAAATCCAAATCGCAATATTCTATCCAAGTAATCTAATTCATTTCATAAATATATTTGATGGATTATAATTTTGATTGATTAATAAAAACAATGCATAGATAACTTTTATAATATGATTTTAATATGAATAAATACATTTTGGTACACTGTCACAATGTTATATGCGATGTCATAGCCTAAGTCTTCAATTGTACAAAAAATCCTCTCTGCATTCACCACTTTCCGCTTGGTCTATAAGATCCATCATCTCCATCATCACAATCATCGCCAAGACCAAGACCTACGGGTCCAATTGGGCCAACGGCACCAACACTAACAGCACCTAATCCATTAGAAACGACAGTTCCGGATGGTCCGGCTAAAACAGCTCCGCTTAATCCGTTGTTAAGTCCAATACCAAGACCAATGGGAACTGGGGGTATAATTGGTGAAGGGATTGCGATTGGGGCTTGAATTGCAATTGGGGCTGGGATTCCGACAAGTCCCGGCGAAACTGCACCGCTGACGACTCCTCCGGGAATAGCTCCGGCTGCTATGGCACCAGCTTGCGCAGCTCCAGAAACGATTGATCCATCTGGGCCGATTACTGATCCCTTTGCTGCAGGTCCTTGAAGGATAGCTCCAGGGTTTCCAGGTCCAAGAAGTACGCCTCCTAATGGAAGTCCAGGGTATCCATTAGCAACGCATACAGTAATTGCGAAAAGAACGATCTAAGATAAAAAGTTATGTTTCAATCTTAGAAAACATTATAGGTATTAAATTTTGTTGAGATATTACCAAAGTTTTCATCTTGGATGTTTGTATGTTTCTGCTGTGAGACTGTTCGTTGTGAACTAAAGTTGATGGCGAGCTTGCAGGTTTAAATACTTACTAAATAGCCTTCAAAAAGCACAAACCAAAGAACTTACCGTTAAAACTAGAAACTGATGCAATGTTTTATATGCATTACGCATCCTTGAGTGTATTTTTATCAATAATTTACTCAAAGATATGCAGGAGTTTTGCCATAATGTCATATAGTTGCATAACAAATCAATAGCTTTGCTGTAAAGGATTTCAGAAAGAAACTCTTATGTTTTTGTGACAATGTCAAAATATTTTGAATTATTATTTGAAACAGTTCTTATATATGTATAAAGTTTTAAAGTTAATATTATCTCTAAAATTGTTGATTTCAAAAAATTGTGGCATCCAGACTTTTTGTAATAATAAAATAATTTTTGGCATGTTAAGTCCGCATTAAATTTTCTTTGAAGTGTTTGTTATTAGATTAAGATAGCTCACTTAGTTCTTGAGATTTATTACTTTGACAATCTATGAATGTTGGATGGATTTTGAAATTAGGCAAATTTGATTTCAAAAAACTCTAGGATCAATATGTATGGGTTTGAATTTAGAATAAATTTGCTTTAAAATTCATTTTGTTTTCAGGCGATATCTCAATTTGTTCTTGAGATAAAAATGTTTAAGATTGATAATTAAAATTTTGCATATTACACAAAGATAAATTCAAAAAATCGTGACATCCAGATTTATTAGAATTAGAAAATAATTTTTGGTATGTTAAATCTGGCTTAAATTTCCTTTAAAACAATTTCGATTTCATCATGATATCTCAATGAGTTCTTGAGATACATCATTTTAATACTTGGCAATTTCACCTCTATGTGTATTACGCAAATATGAATTCAAAACATTGTAGCTTCTAAATTTATTGCTGTGTCGATTCTAAATTAATTTTGCTTTAAAATGCATTATAGTTTGGGGAGATATCACAATTTGTGCTTGAAATACAAATTTTTAAAGATATATAAATAATAAAAATGCATTAATAATTTTTATAATATCATTTTAATATGAATAAATACATTTTGGTACACTGCCACAAATAGCAAATAACATAGCCTAAGTCTTCAGTTGAACAGTCATTAAGATGAAAAAATCCTCTCTCCATTTACCACTTTCCTCCACTTGGTTTATAAGATCCATCATCGCCATCATCGCAATCATCACCTACAGGGCCAATTGGTCCAAGGGGACCAACAGCATCAACACTGACTGTACCTAATCCATTGGAAACCACAGTTCCTGATGGTCCAGCTATAACAGCTCCGCTTAGCCCATTGTTAAGTCCAATACTAATAGGAGCTGGAACTATGATTGGTGAAGGGATTGCGATTGGGGCTTGAATTGCAATTGGGGCTGGGATTCCGACAACTCCTGGCGAAACTGCAGCGCTAACGACTCCTCCGGGAATAGCACCAGCTGCTATGGCACCAGCTTGCGCAGCTCCAGAAACGATTGATCCATCTGGGCCGATTACTGATCCCTTTGCTGCAGGTCCTTGAAGGATAGCTCCAGGATTTCCAGGTCCAACAAGTACGCCTCCTAATGGAAGTCCAGGGTATCCATTAGCAACGCATAAAGTAATTGCAAAAAGAACGATCTAAGAATTAAAACATTATGCTTTATAATTTTAAGAGAGAATTGTCTTGAATCATTACCAAAGTTTTCATTTTGAATTGGTTATGTTTCTTCTATGACACTGTTCGTTATGAACTAAAATTGATGGTGAGTTTGCTGGTTTAAATACTTACTATATAGCCTTCAAAAAGCACAAACTAAAGAAGTTACCGTTAAAACTAGAAACTGATGCAATGGTTATACGCATTACGGATTGTTGTACATATTTTTATTAATAATTTAAACAAAGATATGCGTTTTGCTATAATGTCATATTGTTGAATAACAAATCATAATTTTTATTTAATTCAAATGCTGTTTTCTTTATCTAATTAACTTCATTATGTGATTTTATTATACCATTTTTATGAACGGCTTGATAACAATCACTTCTAAGTTTCTGCTTCTCCTAAAATTACTTGGTAGTAACTATGTATGGTGTGGCAAAAAATTGAGGACAAGTTTTGACAAAGTCTTTATTGTTTATCAACCTCTTTTGGCATTCTGCATTATTAACAATTCACTTGGTATATTAAAGAAAATAATAAAACTTGCATGGTTTATAATTTTCAAAAAAATTTTAGCAAACTGAAGATATATTTAGAAACTATCCTCCAAGTTTATAAATCTTCTAAAATTATTTGATAGAAACTATGTATGGTGTGCCAAAAAAATAAGGACAAATTTTGACAAAGTCTTTATTGTTGTTTATCAACCACTTTTAGCATACTGCATTAGTAACAAGTCACTCGGTATATTAAAGAAAGTAATAAAACTTGTATGGTTCATAGTTTTCAAAAAATTTTTAGCAAACTCAAGATATATTTAGTAACTATATTAATAACAACCTTTGCATTGTATGTGAAAAAAAAATGGTGATCATTTTGATTATCATTAAGTTTTGACAATTCACTCTGTATAGCAAAGATAATAGTGAAATTTGTAAGATCTACTTGTAACTCCAAAGATATTTGGAAACTACATTAATTTACTTTATGTATTTATTAATAAAGATCTCTTCATCTTATATGATCAATTACAGTGTCTATATGATTCTTAATAACTTTATGGTTTGAGATATTTTCTTTAATATATGTTAGTAAAGGGTGAAAGTACAAGAAAATACAGTTTTTTATGAACATACGAACAAAGTTTTATTTATATACACCAATATGATACATTGGAAAAGTACAAAGTACAACATAAGTTTAAGAAAATCATAGCCTTCAAGAGAAACCATCTTCCTGCTTCTTATCATTACCATTTTCCACCCCATCTACCCTCATCCCATCTTCCATCATCTCCTTTTCCGTTCCAACTACCATCATCCCATCTACCATCATCCCATCTGCCATCATCCCAACTTCCACCGTTCCATCCTCCAGAAACAACAACTTGACTGCTAACAGCAGGAGCAACAACTGCACCACCCCATCCTGCACCACCCCATCCTGGACCACCCCATCCTGCTCCACCCCAACCGGCTCCTCCCCATTTACCCAATCCATTAGTAATGACAGTTCCTGATGGTCCAGCTAAGATAGCACCACCTCCAATTTTACCTACACCAATTGGTACAGCGGCTGGGACAACAACAGGGGCAATTGGAGCTGCAACGATACCGGATGAAACTACTCCTTTAACAACTCCACCGGGAATTGGAGCTGCTGCTAAAGCTCCAGCTTGTCCACCTCCAGAAACAACGCTTCCATCTGGACCGATTACGGTTCCTTTGGCAGCAGGCCCTTGAAGGACCGCTCCTGGATTACCTGGACCCACTAAAGCTGCGCCCAAAGATAGGCTTGGCAAACTGTTGACTGTGCAGATAGCAACAGCAAAAAGAACAATCTTAAAAAAATAATTATTAATTTTAATTCATGAAAAGTTTCTTTATTTTTCTTACCAAAGACTTCATTTTCTCAATTTTGGTTCCTTTGTGGATTGTAAAACTGTTTGAGTTGAACTGACTTTACCCTTCTGGCTTATGAGTTTAAATACGAAGAACTTAACCTTCGAAAAAGCTTGAACGGGTCGTAATTTCTTTTCAAATATTCAAAGTTGCATTTTTAAGTTTTGATTTGAACGGAGAGGGGGTCGCAAGCCGATCCGGTAGACAAAGGTTGAGAACGAGAAACTGATGCAATACTTTTAGTGAATTGCCGAGGCGACGATAATATTAAATAGTGTAAGGGTGATTTTTATATTTTGAACGTGAAAAATTAAAATTTTTATACACTATAAAGTTATTTCTTGGGTAAGTAAAGTAGCTCAATAATTTAATTCAAATTTCTGGTAAAAAATGATTCGTCTTAAAATATTTTTAATTCTTATTATTTATTTTTATACATATTGATTTAATTTATTTAATTAATTATATGAAATAATTTTAGATACCATTGCATCATCTTTTGATAATTAAATAAAAAAAGTAATTAAAAACTGTTTTATTTATTATTTCAAAGAACCTAATCCTCAATACAACAATTTAAGAAATAAAAACTTAATTAAATGATTATTAATACATTAAATTTTAATTAATTAAACATCATATCGAAACCTTCATCAAATTGAACTTGTTGATTACCGCCTTGTCCTTGCATTTGTTGGCCCATATTTGGTCTTGGCCCACTTCCCATTTGTTGCATTCCCATAACTTGACGATATGGTTGCTATTAAAAATATGCATCAATAAGGTTAAAATCATGATTAAAATTTTTACTTACCGCTTGTAACAAATGTCTTAATTGATTATTTCCCATAACAGGACGAACCATTCGTTGATTATTAATACTATTAGCTTGGGCGTTATTTTGATTAGCCAAACGTTGTTGCTAAATAAAATTTAAATCCAAACAATTCAAATAATAAACACAAAAATAAAAACCTTACATCCATCATTTTATACTGCATTTCTTGTTGTTGAGCTATTTGTAAAGCTTCTTGTAATTGTGATGTCTTCATATGGCTAATTCTTTCCAATTGATTTTTGTACTGTTGTTCTTGCTGTTGAGCGGCCTCTAAAGTCTGTTTTAGCTGATTAATCTTTTCTAGATTTTGTTGCCGATCCATTTGAATTTGATTTTCGAATGGAGCTCTTTGGACGGGCCCCGACATCATTGGACCACCCATTGATTGTTGGTTTTGTTGCGTGGTTTGTTGCATTTGTCCGGCAACTTGTTGCATATTTTGCATGCGAATTCTTGGTGGCATTCCCGGCGCTCCAGAAACTACGTTAGCTTGAAGTACATTCATTCCTGGAGCGCCTTGACCCGTTTGCGGAACGACATTTTGCGTGATTTGCCCACCACCCATCGTCATTGTGTTAGTTTGGGATATCATTAAACCTTGTTGGGTCGATTGAGAAGTAACTGGACTATTTCCTGGTTGAAGTTGAGTAGGAGCTCCGCTAATTGGAATGTTTCCACCAACTTGGGGCGACATATTAGGACCAGGATTTTGCCTGGGGTTGGATTGCATCGATTTTTGTTGTTGAATCACTTTTCTTAAACGATCAACGAAAGCGGCTTGGTCGTTGGGAATAAAACCTAAATACGCCTGCTTTTCAGCTGTGTATAATAAAATTAAAACTTTTATGTCGCATGTGTTTAAGCTGTTTGATGAACTCGTAAAATGAACGCAACCGGCCTAAAAATGTATTAAATAAGAATTGATTAAATATTAAGATTGGAATTTTACAAATCCTGAATTCATAACTTTTGTTAATGATTCTAAAGCATCACATTGCTGAGGATGGAACAAAACTGATTTTGAATTTTTTAAATAAGCCCCTCCAATCGTTCCTATAAGTTGTTTTGGCATCAATTGCATCATCAATTTTGTGGGCCAACCATCCGCTTTCCTAAAATAAATTAACGTTATGATCAATTTTTTTTTCTTTTTTTAAATTTTTTACAATTCCGGTTCTCCATCTTTAGAATTCGAAGTAACCTGACAGGGAACTTGCTTAGTTTGTTTGGGATCGTTCAAATTGGGCGTCTTTAACTTCTCAATCCACTCAAGAACACCATGCCAAATCGTTTGCCTTTGGCGACCATTACTTAACTGTTGACTTTGTTGTCCGCTTTGAGCAACTTGAGCGGGTGAAGCACCAACAGGAGCATTTCCAGCCACGCTTTGAGCGGGACTTTGTTGCATTTGTCCCTGCGATTGATTCACCATATTTTGATTAATCCTAACTGGTTGTTGTTGTTGTTGCGCCTGTTGCTGCTGAACCTGCTGCTGTTGAGCTTGCTGTTGTTGTTGTAATTGTTGCTGTTGGGCTTGTTGTTGAGCTTGTTGTTGTTGTTGTTGTTGCATTGGGGAGTTACCACCAACTAATAAAATATAATCAACATTTAAATAATCTAAAAAAAATTTTATTATTACGTTGAAATTGGTTAACAGATCCTCCAGGCATTGAAGATGGTGGTTGAGTTAATTGAGCGATAAGGGCGCTTCCTTGAACTTGATTTGTATTTGGTTGAGTGTTTGGCATAAAGGGTTGGCGTGGGGGCATAACCCATCTATTAGAAGGTTGTCTTTGTCCCATAGCTACACAAAAAATTGTGTTTATATAGAAATATCGTATTAAATAAAATAGAACCTTGTCCAGCTTGATGATAACTTGGAGGAGCCGGAAGTTGGGTATTTGCAAACTGGGGATTTGGAAATCTTTGCTGCCCAACCATCCCAACCATTGATGGGTTGTGACTCATGCCGGAAAATAGAACATCTATTTAGAATTAAAAAAATTATTTAATTAAACATTAATTAATTTAATTTTTGATAGAATCCATGTTGCAGGACTTTTGAGTTACTCTTTCATTTCAAGTTAAGTTTCATGTAATAAATGTTACAAAGCGTTAAAACCCCGATATTCATTTAGAAAGACCCTGTATATAAAAAAAATACCATATAATAACTCTATTACAACAACCACCAAGGACATTTTTTTAAGATATAACATTAATTTATCATATTCTAACAATGATTAAACACTGATTAAATTATGCTCTAACTAATCCAACAAGAAAGAAAGATAATCAATCTCCAAAATAACTTAACCACAAAGTAGCTCCAACGAAACTCAACCATAAAGTAACAAAACTGGTCAGTTTAGGAACCCAATACAACTACACTATCTTCGAACTAATCCAACCCTTCCTCAAAACAAAAAAATCCAAGTCCAAAGCCAGCCCCAAAATAATCCAACTCATTATAATATAAAGTTGACAAGTTGGACTGGATTGCTCTAACGAAACTCAGCCATAAAGTAACAAAACTGTTAAACATGTCACTTTGGGAAGCTAACACAACCAGAAGCTATTGCATCTTTGAACTAATCCAACCCAACCTCAAAACAACTCATTCCAACTCAATCCAGCATCCAAGCAATGCAACGTTACCCAAACCAGCCACCTCAAGCCTACTGGAACCAAATCCACCAATAAAGCAATTCAATCCAAATTTATAGCAAACTAATCCAACCCTTAATTAGTCCCAAATATGCTACTTTGAGACTAATCTCCAAGTAAGGCAATCCAACCAAAGCAACCCAATTTATCTTCAAATCCAGCTAATGCAGTTCTTAAGCAACTCAGCTCATTGTGATTCAAAGTTGGCAAGTGATTGGGTTGGGTCAATGAAATTCAACCATAAGTCAAGCTAAGCCAATTTTATATTAACCACACATAACCTCAGCAAATTAATATTAAGGAAACTGATCAAAAATCATTGGTGCAAGTCCCAAGCCACTTTGGGCTACTTTAAGAACCCAACGCAACCAGAAACTAAGCTAATTATAAGAAGAAACCTAGTTTTAATAAAATTTAATCCTATTGCATAGCAAGCCAAGCTATATAGAATGTTTCAAAATCCAACTATAAAACGAGCAAATCCAAATCTAAAGCAAAATTAACCATAAAGCGGCTCAACTTCAAATCAAGTTATTCTATTTTCAAAGGCACATCACCTCAAAGTAATCGAATTTTAAAGGAATTATAAGTTTTAAACTTGTATATTTCAAAGAAGACTTGAACGAAATATCAAGTGAGCTATATTTTTGGAAACGAAATTTTATGCTCTCGTCTTAATTAGCAAAAATATATAGGATGTTCCATTTAAAAAAATCATTTTTATGGCAATAACTGCTAAAATATTGCTTTGAGGGAAAGCTAACTTATTCCATCGGATTCTACCTAAAAAGTTGCTTTGGAAATGTTTTCACAGAAAAGAAGATTTATCAATAAGAAAAAAGTTATGACGACTTTTCGAAAATGCACTTTTGAAAATATCCTGTATCTCTGAAACCGTAAGAGATATCGATATGCGGTTTTCGCCATTAAGTTTCTTATAAAAATCGAGCCTCAGACACTGATATAATTTTTCCTGTATCTCTTATAGAAATATGAGTTTCCCTTTAAAAGTGCCCAATTTGGCCCACCCTACATCCTAATTTCGTCTACACAAGAGAAATACAAATATATTTTGCCACATCTACCAATTACCACGACAAGGAGCTCAAATTTCTCGTAGAACATGACTTTTGATCAATGGGGATGTACAAATTGTAAGGTGGTATGATGTTTATGCACATACTTGCAATATAAATAATGAAAGTGGTGTATATTTGATTAATTTTAATAACTGTAATAGTATTTATATTGGGCAAGCCCGATATAAATTGGAAAACAGACTAATGGAACATAAAAACAAGAATAATGGAAACAAATCACGGTGAAATTACCTTAAGTCGAATCACTAAGGGAGTAGAAGAAAACTTCGAGTTATGGAAAATTCGAGTCAGAGAAAAATTAGTAGAATTTTTGTTCAAATTTTTTAAAGTAATCCGTAATTTTCTTTTGGCTTAAAGTGCATAACCGCTTTTTGTCGAAAAAATCTTCTATTAAATGTAAAGAATTATGAATATTATCTGGAACATTCTCTCTTCATAATATAAAGAAAAGTAAAATACTGCCAACAGGTCTAAATACAGCATCTGGAACACTAAATACTGCTTTCTAAACACTAAAATTGCTTTGTGGAGACTAAATACTGCTTTCTGAAGACTAGATACTGCTGACAGGTCTAAGTACTGCGAAAGAAAGATAAAATATTGTTGGAGAAAACATACATAAGGTTGGCAGAAGACTAGATACTGCTTCTAGAAGACTACATACTGCTTTCTGAAGACTATAATTGCTTTGTGGAGACTAAATACTGCTTTCTGAAGACTAGATACTGCTAACAGGTCTAAATACTACAAAAGAAAGATAAAATATTTTGGAGAAAACATTAAAAAGGCGCTAGCGCCCCCTTTTAGGCGGCGCCCGGGTACAGTGCACCCCTTGCACCCCCGGTAGCGCCGCCTCTGGTAAAACTTATACATAAATGTAAAAAAAGCTTTAAGTTAGAGCTCTTAAAGGGATTCGAAATTAATATAAAAAAGATAATAAACACACTCAATGACCAAATAGATTTAAAATATACACCTCTATTTAAATAATTAAAGAATTTTTAGTTATTTGACTTAGATAGTTTTTTGTTTTCTTGAACTTGTTTTCCAACACGTGCCTTTCTTTTCAAGAAATATTTTGTGTTACATTCAATTTTTTTTAGTCGTTCTATTTCGTTAAGTGTATAATGTTTAGTTAAGTATTTAGCTTAAGTAATAGTTTCTTATAAATATTCAAAGAAGTTTTAATATGTTGTTGATTTATGTTAATTTTTGAAAAGAAAGATTTGACCATAAGTAATTTTTTATAAATTATAGATTATTTTTTTTCTAAAAAAGTCCATAAGATAAATAAATATTTTCCAATTATATAGATTTGGCTAATAATGACCTAATGTAAAGGTCGAAACCAGTACTAAATTAATTTATAAATAAAGCAGAAAACTTTTCTTATAATTAATACATTAATTAATTTACCCGAATTATTTTGTTGCGTTCTATATGGTTGTCCTTGCCCAATATTTTGAACACCTGGACCAGGCCCCATCATAGTTTGACTTGGTTGTGAACTAGCCACAGAAATTGGGCTATCTGTATCAATACGAGGACTTGGTAAAGAAGTCATAGCAACATTTGTAGCTCCCAAAGGATTTTGATTGGGATTTACTGGAACTTGTGGTGGGGTTAATGGCCTTTCTTTAAGACTAAATCCTTTTAATAAAACTAAATGTCTAGGATCTTTCGTGTAATTTTTCGATTGAGAAACTGTTAAGTCGCCCCCTGCTTTTTCAAAGAGCTTATATAAAACTGGAATTTTTCTTGGTGATATTATAGATAAATTAATATTTTTTTCATCAAGAATCAACGCTAATTGTTCCGCAGTTTTTCCGCCATAAGATTGAGATTCCATTGCAGGCATTAAATAAGGAGGTGAATTACAAATTAAAAGACAGTGTCTTTGAACGTTCGCATTAGGATCTCTTTTTTGTTTTAATTCATCGAAACATTGTAAGGCTGTTGCTAAACCTTCTGAGATATGAGCATGAGATTCACCTTTACCACCTATTAACCTTAAAAACATCAAAAATGAATTAAAAAAATTAATTAATCAAATTTTAACTTACTCCAAACGATCAAATGCATTTATAAACTTTGTTGCATTATTAAATGGACCAATTGTATCCGTCATTGGTTGGGGTAAACAATCAGCTGTTTGGTAAGTTACTATCCCATATAATGAATTAGCATTATCAGAAATGTAACTTCCCTCATCGTTATTACCTTGGCTAAAATACCTACAACAAATTTGAAGTTATTTATACAAAAAAATATAACGAATTCAGTGTTATAAACGTATATGTGAAGAATCAGATGGAAATTGTTATCAAAATGAAGCAAGGTTACACTCTTTTAAGAGTACCTCAAACCTATTCAATTATCCGTTCAAAAGTCATCATGTAATCATCGAAATAATCGTAATAAACGAAAATAATTACTTACTCAATACATGGTAGGATGTAATTAGTTTTTAAATCGTTAATATAAGCCCCATTAATCGCTGTACTTTCCACAACGAATATTATATCGGATTGTAAAGTTTGTACACCGTTCATATCGGAAGTACACACCACCATTTTTTAGATTAGAAAAAACGATTTATTATTTATTTTATTTAAATCATTCTTATTAATTAATCGTATATTTCTTTACTTTTTAATAAATAAATAAACTTTTTGACACAATAGATATAACATAACCTCAAATGTCAAATTAAATCGTTTGAAGATAGCAACAAATAATAAACTTTTATATTTTATAATTATTAATAAATTTTTTGTTGATCAGATTATTATTCGTTTTAAGCTTAAATCTTATCTTACATAGAAAGTAATAAATGAATGTAAAATCCCTATTAAAAAAATTATCAATATTGACATTATTAAATGACAGATATCAGCTGTTCATTAAACGATACATGCATCATCATTAGAATTCATTTATAATTCACTAGTAAATCTTTTTAGAAATGGCTACTGCAGTAACTGATAAAGTAAAAGAACGCCGAAACAGAGTAAGTTTTAACCCCCTTTTTCAAAAAGGATTTATGACATTTTTTCACTGTTTAATAGGTCTTTGTTGATACCTTACCTGATGATTTTTTGAGAATAACAGTGTCTGTTCAACAACAACAAGAAGCAGCAGACCGACAGGCTGCTCTTGCTTTACATCAACAATATCTGAGCGCCCAACCTTGTCTTGCCAATATTTTGGGTAGATTAAACATTTGTGTAGCTCAGGCAAAACTTGCCAAAAATTATGGGGTGGTTCGTATGGATCCTTATGCTAGAATTCGAGTAGGACATTGCGTTTATGAGACTCACACTGATTTAAACGGAGGTAAAAATCCAAGATGGAATAAATTAGTACAATGGTAAATCAATTTTTTAATGGTTAAAATTAAATTTCAAATGCTATAATTTATTTTAGTTTACTTCCACAAGGAGTTAATATGATATCCATTGAGATATATGATGAGCGTTCATTTACAATGGATGAACTGGTTGCTTGGACCCAAATAAACATTCCTCAACAAGTTTTAACTGGTGAAACTCACGAAGAATGGTATCCATTGAGTGGTAAACAAGGTGAAGGAGTTGAAGGGATGATTAATTTAGTTTTAAGTTACTCTGTAAGGTTTTTAATAATTAATTTAAGTAAAAATTTAATGAAACAATTTAGCCTCAGGCACCAATTCAACCTTTAATGTATACAAGTCCAAATTTATCTGCTGGAAGGCTTCAAACATTATCTGTGTATCCTGCACCACCAACTGGTCAACCAGCTCCAGCACCAGTTCCAATTTTAAGCGAATCAGAATTAAAACAGGTTCAAAAATTATTTTTAATTAATTAATGAATATATAATTAAACAATTTTGTTTGTAGATTGAAGAAATGTTCCCTAACATTGACAAAGAGGTGATAAAATCGGTATTTGAAGCAAATCGGGGGAATAAAGATGGAACAATTAATTCTTTATTGCAAATGTGTGAATAAAGATTAAAAAAAAATCATTAAAAAGACTTCTATTATAAAATATGCAAGATTCATTCACTTATTATGATAAATTTGATGAAAAAGAGAATACTTAGTCATTAGATTTAAGTGAATTTAAGCTTTTTTTTTGTTGTAGCCTATTATTTGCTTAAATGTTTTTTGGTAATGAAATAACTGAAAAAATGTGCCAAAATTTTCTTTTTCAACTAGCTTTTTTTATATGGAAATAAGGGGAATATAAAAAAAATGCACTTTTATTAAAGTATTATTGCCATAATGTAATTCTTATTAAATTTATGTTATTTAAAAAAAATATAAATTGATATGCACCATCAAATTGTGTTTATTTTTAATGAAATCCCTCCTTATCTTTTATTTCATATAGTTTATTCAGATGCTATTACGTCAAATGAAGTTGAAAAAACAAAGAGAAATCGTTCAACTCTTGCCTAATTCATATCTACGCAGAAAAAGATCTTAAAATGTTTCAAATAATTTTGTTAATATTGATGGTTGTTAGTTGTAGTAATTCTAATTATGTAGTAAGTTTTTTTTTCATTTTTAAAACGTTTAAAAAGAACTTTATTCGTGATTTTTTAGGGTACCATGCAAATCAGAGATTTCGTTTTAAACAAATGTACCAACAGCGGAAACGATCCAATCTCAGTAAACAATTTTACGATTGAATTCGGGAATCATTTAGTGCCTATTGTTAGTGGGACTTTTTCAACAAGTGTTGATTTAAATTCTCCAATAGAAGTAGGTTTAATTTTTTATTTATATCTTTTTGTAAGAATTTCGTGTAAAGCGCATGCTCCATTTTAATTAATTTGAGTACAAATACGCATGACGTAAGGTTTTAAACAAAGGTTTGTTAAGTATTGGTTATATACAGCGATATACAGTACGTTTACTCAACGGACGTTGGTTTTAAACAACCAAACGTGCATGTTACATTATATTACATAAATTATACATATTTTGGCACCCACGTTAATGGCATGGAATACAATACAGTCCGTACCGAAGTTGTAAGCTTGTTTAATCCGAAGTGTCTCGCAGTATACTCCTGCCCCGATCCCTTTCGGCGTTTTTGATCCATCTATGAACATATACAAATATCTTCCTGAACCAGAGAATTTTCGTTTTCGATCCAGGACTGCCGTTCGGATAATCTTGTATTGAGCATTAATCAGTAGTAGTGATAACGTCAAATCCATGCGTTTTGAGCATATTGCTTGAACTTGTAAATGCTAGTTCTAGCCTCTTTCTCTATATGGAAATGCAAAAGAGATAGGCCAAGCAGAACATCCATTCCTAGAGTCTGCATTGTGCTTATCGTACCAGAGATTGCCAATCCAGCAGAAATCTGTCGGGCTTTTCTATACTAGCCTGCTGCTCCGTATGTGATCATAGGTCTAACCTCAGTCATAGAATCAATACAGTCTTTCAGGGGAAAGACCCCAATTTGCATGTTAGTTTGGTTTTGATCTATTTGAATTTTATTCTATATTTTCACCTTGATTTTGAACATCAAATCGAAAACGGTTAAATTAATATTCTTTCACGATGTATTGTATGCCATAGCTGTAATTTGAAGACTGCATTTATATCCACAAAGTGAATCAGCAACAACAGCTGTAGACAGAAAAGTCTATCTGCTGATTAAAAACCATCACTGAAGACTGTAGGTCATATCTTTAGACCTTATAGCCACAGTTTGTAAACCATATTTATAGACTGAAATATGGAAGCTAGAGCTGCATATTGCTTGTTATAGCTATATATTGATTACCATAATGTACATACAGACGAGAACAGCAAATAAAGAAGCATCTTTAGAAACATCAGGAAACAAATTCTCTTGGACGACATCGTTGGACTTGCTTTTGATGGTTGTAACATGATAACGGGGAAGTACAAGTTGATTTCGAGTCCTGTCTTGGTAGGACATCATACGCTTAATCTTTATAGGAGCTAGACAAGAAAAAGAACTCCTAAATTTTTTCCTAAAACTTAAACCATAACTTATGCTAAGTTGCAATAATGTTTTTGTGAAATCCTCAACTTCAACATGGTTACATAAACATACTTAAAGAATTATTATCATCAATTGGACCGCGTTATGCATCACTTGACTAAGCGACAAATGAATAATTAAGGAATGTTACGTAAGGTTAGTTCTGTTTACAAACATTAATTATAGCGTGAAGTTTTCTTTAGTAATGCCAATCATAGCGTGAAGTTTTCTTTTGAAATGCCAATTAAACCGTGAAGGAATGTTACTTAAGGTTAGTTCTGTTTACAAACATTAATTATAGCGTGAAGTTTTCTTTAGTAATTAGTAATGCCAATTATAGCGTGAAGTTTTCTTTTGAAATGCCAATTAAACCGTGAAGGAATGTTACCTTAGGTTAGTTCTGTTTACAAACATTAATTAATGTTTGTACATACGTTCACAGGCGGTGCTGAAGGTATTCCAGACATGTTTCAGACACATTTGTAGCGAAATGTTTCAAATGAAATGTTTCTGCTACATATTTTAATGATATTTCATAAATATTTCTACTGAAATGTATTTGATACATATCTTTAGATACGTTTCGTAAAAATCGTATCTGTCATGTTTCATTTAATTCACTGTACGTTAAAATTGAAATATTTCACAGAGGCTTCTTGTTTACTGGGATGTTGAGAAAAACGGGAAAAAATAAGACTTCTAAGAATAAAAATATAAAACTTCTCAGAATAGATATTTTTATCACAGAACACTGATGACAGCTTTCACAAGCACAGAAGCCGCTTGGTCACTCGTTACGTTTTACGATTATACAGGTGTTTCTGTAAATCGTGACAATTTAATTAGTAAAACTAGAGACAAAATTATGACGATTTGTGTAAAAATGATTGAAGAAAATAATCTAGAGTTTGATTTTGTACTTTTAAACTGGTTTTTATTTTATATAGAATTTAAGTCTAACCAGATTCGGCTCTTGGCCATCTTCAGAGACTCTACAAATAGATTATCATCTATCATCTTATCCATCTTACAAACAAGTTTCTTAATATTTCTTTTTTGTTAAAAACATCACGTATCAAAGTCGAAATCAGATTATTAGTTCCTAATTTACAAAATTAAAGTTTAAAAAGTAGTAAAATGAAATTAAGGACGGTGTCATAAGTTTACAGGTTGAAATTTAAGAACGCTCTTTTTTTCAAAAGAAATATTAAGACGATTTTTTTAATCAATGTGAAATGACCCAAAAACACGTTAAAAATAAAAAGAAAGTACGGAAAAGTGACTAACACTAGATTAACTTCAGTTATAAAACTTCTATTCAACAAAATTTGAATAGAAACCTCAATTTTGACATATTTGTAATCTTCATTAAAAATCCTTTAAAATGAGTACAAACACGATATATTTATCTTCTATATTAATGAAGTTACGGTCAACTTCCGGTTAAGAATGTCAACGTCAATTTTGACATATTTGTAATCGTCGTGAAAAATCCTTTAAAATGAGTCCAAACATGATACGTTTAATTCCAATATTACTCGAGATATAAGCAACTTCCGGATTGAAATGTCAATGTCATTTTGACATATTCTTAATTTTTATAAGTCTTAATATTTGTCACAAAAACAAAAATGTAATAAAATAAAATAAAAAATTAAGGTTGGTATTAATATTTAAAAATTAAATTGATATCTTCATTATTGCTAACTTCAGGTTTAATGTTTTTTATTCTAACTTTTTAGTTTTTTGAGATAAGTACGTCATCTTTGGACTCATTTTAAAGGTTTTTTAATGAAGATGACAAATATGTCAAAATTGACGTTGATGTTTCAACCCGAAAATGATTGTATTTCCATTAAAGTTAAACATGTCGAGTTTGGGCTCATTTTAAAGGATTTTTAATGAAGTTGACAAATATGTCAAAATTAAAAGTTGAAAGTTCTAACTTTTTAGTTTTTTGAGATAAATGCGTCAAGTTTGAACTCATTTTAAAGGTTATTTTATGAAGATTACGAATATAATAATAAAATTAAAGTTGACATTGACAACTGAAAGTTTTTTTCACAACTAAACCCGAATGTTTCTAGTTCTCGTTCTAGTTGTAGTTCAATAAAAATATACAACATAGTAATATCTTATGCTAACTAGCGCTACCTACCACTGCCACTAGTGTTAGTTCTAGTGATAGAGTAATATTAGAACCAACACTAGACCTAGAACTAGAAGCATTCGGGTTTAGCCGCACGTCTCTGAAGACGGCTAAACCTGAATGATTCTAGTTCTAGGTCTTGTGTTAGTTCTAATATTAAAGTTAATAAAAAAGTAAAAAGCCTAAAAAGTTTCGGGCTTAGCCGTGTGTCCTCAGACGCACGGCTAAACCCGAATATTTCTGGTTCTAGGTCTAGTGTTAGTTCTAGTTTTAGTGCTATAAAAATATGCAACAAAAAAATTATTAACTATTAAAACAAATTTAATAGTATTTTAGGTCTTTCGGTATCTGCATTTTTTCTAAGATAAGTTACACCTTTACCTACCAGACAGCATAGAAATCTCTAGCAACGGTAAAATGTCGCTTAGTCAAGTGATGTATAACGAGGTCCAATTACCATTTATTATGCGCATTTATGGTCGTAAATAAATAAATTGGTTATTTATAATCGGTTCAACTTTATGGTATTATTCCGTGGTACATAATCTTGACTCGCGTAACGTTATGTCATGATTATATTTGAATTGATTTGTTGTGTTATGAACAAGATTTAATCAAAACCCGCAGAGTAGCATTAATTAACTGAATTTTTTATAAATTAATTAATTTTTTGTAGGTTTCTATAGATGTTAAAAGAAAAGTAATATTTTGGATAGAAGTACCCTGCGTTGATAACCTGGGATCGTGCACATACAAAGATGTTTGCATCTTTGGAATTGCCAAAAACAAACCGTGTCCTCCGATTTTAAACGATAATAAAGTTCCTTGTCGTTGTCCCATTAAAAAGGTAACGTTTCTTCATACAATCACGTTTTTATATTTTAAATATTTTTTTAATTTCTTTTTAGGGTACTTACATCATCCCAGAATCAATTGGATCATTTTTAGAAAATACTGCGATATACAGTGGTTATTATAAAGGAAATGTCATTATTAAAAATGATAAACAAAGATTAGGATGTTATGATATGACTTTTGAGTTGTATAACTCTTAAAGTTTTAGTATTTATTTTATTATACTAAAATTTATTATTGTAGTATAATTAAATTAATTATTTTTGTATAAACCTACAAACTAAACCTTTTTTTCTTCTTTTTCGTCGGATGTTTCATCTTTTTTTCTTTTTGCTCCACATCGTCACCATTATTTTCGTGCATTCGTTTCTCACCACTAAAATAAAATAAAAAATGAATTTATTCCTCACTAAAATTAAATAAATAAATTATAACAAATTTGATTCTTAAAAATAGCTTACGTTTTAACTGAAATTAAGCTCTTTCTACTTTTATTAGATAAAGCTTTATTCCATTCGCTTTCGGCGCCTTTTATAGCAAATTGATCAAAATTTTCTTTTTTTAACTTTTCGAGTTCTTTTTTCTGCTTCTTTTCTAATTCTTTTGCAGCTTCTTCTAATTCATCGTGCATGCTTTTAGCGACGGGATTTAAATGAACATCTTGTCTAGGAATCATTGCTTTTTCAACGTCTTGTTCTAAAATCCCATTCAAATGTTGTACACTTCTTCTAATTAAACGATTAAAAAGAGCTAATAATTGAGATGACGGTAATTCTAAATCTTTTGATAATTCATCAACTGTTTTATGTTGTAAACCTATTCCTAATAAAATAGCTGATTGTACAGCAGACATGTTAACATCACCCATTTGATTTAAAAAGTAGATTTTAGCTAACGCTGGCATTAAATCAACGATTAAATGATAATCAACTAAATTATTGCTATACATTTCAAGTCTTTTTACGTCATAATTAGTGAAATGTATGTTTAATTCGGTTTTCGTCATAATTCTTGTTGTTGTTTTTCTTGATTTGTTGTTAAGAACGCTTAATGAAAGTGAAGGGGAAAATGTGCGAAATTGGTATGATAATAACGAAGTAAATCTTCGTCTAAAATCAATCCAATAAGCCCCCAACCAATCATCGTTATTTTCAGTTGTGTTAACAACATTTAACATGATACATGAATGTTCCCCGGTTAAATCATTTGTTGTTTGGCGAAGATAAACCGGAATATATCCAGCTTTTTTCCAAAATTTTAATAATTGTTCTGTAAGTCCATAAGAAACGCCTAAATAATCTAATTTTTCCGGTTGCCGTTCGCTTAATTTTAATAAAAGCGGCGGTAAAGATTTTCTTGGTTCAATAGTTTCTTCTAATAAATCAACCTCTTCTTCTGCTACATTCGATATTTCTTCTTGAATGATTTGGTCTTCGTCGATATTAGTTACTTTAAACTCATAATAATCCTTTAAAAGTGTTAAAGCCCTTGCTCCATAACCCATCTAACCACAATCAATATAATTAATAATTTAAAAAAATGAAATGCAGTAAAACCTTGATATAACTAATACGAGGAAGACAAAATTGTCCTTCAAATTAGTTATATCGAGATTTCATTGTATATATTTAAAATCATACTCCTTGATAATCAGGATGAGTTGCTATTCGAACAATTCTAGCACCACAAAGTTTTGGGAAATCAGTATCTTGATACTGTTGACCAATAGTCCAAGGAATAAGATCACCGGAAGCTCGTTTACCACGAGAAAATCCTTCCACAACCGTACTCTTCGAAATTTCCCCTTCTAAACACACTTGGATAACAACCAAAATTTCGGGTAAACGTTTTTTACTAGGATCAACGGGTCCTAATAAACAAAAAAGATGATGTGCTGGTGCATCTGACATCATTTGTAAATCATTTGGAGTGTTCTAAAATTAATTATTAAATTTTCTTTTTTAAATTTAAATAATTATATCATACTTTGTAATGAGAAGCAACGTATAATGCAACGAGTCTTTGTAAAAATTCCTCCGATGCTCGATGATAACAAAAAAGTGTGTCTCTATTGATATAATATAAATCGCAACTTTCCGGAGGTGGACAACCACTTAAAATTGGTGCTACTGATGTAGCATCCAAACAAAGCAGCTTTGTTAACCATGTTTCAACATCATCACCTGATTTATAACGAATTGATTCTTCGAGAGTTACCTAAAATTGGTATTATTTTTATTTTAAACAAAAAAAAAAGTTTTTAAGCCTAGAATACTAACGGTATGTTTTTTGTTTTTCTAACTTGTATAAGCATAGTTAGAAAAAAAAACGAAATTAAGCTTGAGCATTTCGCAAACTTTCGTTAGAATGAACGCAAATAAAAGACTTTTTTATTAAACGTCCAAGAACAAGCAAATAAATGAAGATAAACGTAAACAAATGAAGATGAATCATTTATTTTTTTAGCTACAGCTCATACATATTTTTATTTGTTGTTCACCACAATGCGCGACAGCTACATAACAAATTGTTGTCGTCATTCTCTTCTTCACTGTAGGACATAAACTTTCTCTTGAGGGGTTTCCTGATTCTCTGCAATAGGCTGATTTTGTAAAACTTGACATAGAAAGTCTTGACAGGGAGGGGCAATTTTGTAGCCTTTCTTGTTGCCACGAAACGCATCGTCGAAAGTGAAAGAACTATTTTATTTTGCTTAGGTTTATAAGACACAAGAGTCATTTTATCATCAAATCGAAACACAGAAGTTCTACATTTCCGGGATTTATGGTCTAGTAACTTTATCGGTATTTCTGACTTATTTTTACGAAGAGTCCCAACTATTGTTAGATTGTATGGTTTATTCAGTAGTTCCGTGGCCAAAGGAATACTGGGAAACCAGTTATCCATTGTGATGTTGAGGTTACTACCATATAGCGGTGTCTCCATCCGTGTTTATAGATTTCCCAAGATAAGGACTTGCATTTATTACGTGCTTGGTGGCAACATCACAGAGAATCACAATTTTGATGCCATATTTATTAGCTTTGTTGTGCATATACAGGATGTCTCCGAAATGCGTGTACAACGGAAGACCACAAATTCCTTGGCTCAAAATAGGTGGTCATTTTGAACAATTTTTTTTAGATATTTCCTACTTGTTGTGTTTATTGTTACCTTTTGTTTCTTAGAATTGATTAAAAGTTTTTCTTTCTAGTACTGAAACAACTAAATACGACTACGTTTTTTCCTAACACTGTATGCTTTGATGATCATTGAATTCCCAAGCTTTTGATCAATTAATGATATTGTATTCACGTTAAATATAAATTGCAATTAGTTGAAATCAGTGCCAACTACGATGAGGTAACTTTTTTAACTGCAATGACATAAACAAGGATTGCAGATATTTAAAAATATCTTTTTTCTGGCTTAACCACTTATGTAATCAAAATCTTATAAGAGATAAAAACGGTTTAGAACTAAATGGACTATTCAAAAATTATAATAGCGGCGAAACGAAGCAGCTTTGGATATAGATAACTTAACTTAAATCGACCTATTTTGAGTCAAGGAATCTGTGGTCTTCCGTTGTTCACGCATTTTGGATACACCTGTATATACGGAAGGGGCACTTACCCCGGAATCCAACAAGTTGAGTGGCTTTAATTATTATTAAGAACTGTTTTATCTTATTACCACTTCCACTAATGCTGCTCTATAGTAAATCACTTCAGTCTGGAGTTTATCCGCGTGTCTAGAAGCAGGCACATGTTCTTTCAATATTTAAGTCTGGCAATCAAAGTGCTTATACAAGATTATTTTTCATGGTCAAAAACCAAATCGATTTCAGACAACACGGTTTCTTCGCGGGTCGTTCGGTTGAGAGCAACTTGTTGGAATATAGCAATTACATATTACATTCTATGGATGAATCTATCCAAGTAGACGATATTTACACAGACTTCAGCAAGACGTTCGACCAAGTTGACCATAATCTGTTAATTTCAAAATTTCAACAGTTTGGTATCGATGGCTATTTGGTCAGATGGTTAGCCTCCTATATGCGCGGCAGAACTCAGATAGTGTCAATCAAGGGACATAAATCTAATTCCTTTCCAGTGCCTTGGCAGTCACTTGGGACACCTTTTGTTTAATATTTACATTAATGATCTATTTGATGTTTTGAAACATTTTCACTTAATTAAATACGACAATGTTCTTGGGGGCGTAACCATGTCAAGAGTATCTCATATTAGAAATCGTTCAAAAAATTTTGAAGCTCCTCAGCTACTAGGATTAACATGGATTATGTTGATTACGAGTCTGCATGTCGTAGCGCCAATTTTTTATCACTCCGTCAACGTCGATCTTGTAATGATGCGTTAACATACTACAAAATCTTTAATAACGTAATTGATTCTCCTCAACTACTCGGGAGTATTAATTTTTGCGTCCCACCCTGATTCCTCTTGTTGCCTATTCTGAATTTGTTAACTGTTATTTTTGTATCTTTATGCTATGCTATGTATGTTATGCTATTTTTCATGATGATGTTTATATATTTTTGTTCTATTTTTCGTTGTAATTTTCGATGCAGTTTTTTCTGAGTTTGTCCTGTTCTGTGCCCAACTTGGTGTATAAATAAATAAATAAAATTTTTAGCTTGGTCTGTCGGTCCTGGTCGAATATATAAAATATTTTAGCTGGAGTTTTACCGCCTGCGTTAACTACCAGAGCACTTTTCCACACCTGACCATTTTTTCCTAAATATATAGGATTACTTGAACTTACATAAACGTCTTTTGAAGTTTGATTTCTAGATAGACTCTTTCGAGATGTTGATGGCTGTGAGAGCTTACGTTTATTGTTATGAGACTGCTTGCCTGAGTCACTGAAAACTCATTTTTGTTTGGGTTTCCAGGCACTTTCTAGTTCGGCTTGATACAGCTCTTCCTCATGCATATGAACATAGTCTCTATTGGCAACACTGTCGTCACTATAGAATGGATCTTGCTCTACTTTATCTTCTTCATTGTCACTCACATCACTAAAATCACTGGCTATCACAATATCATCCCGTAATTCTCTGTCTGTGAGAGGCCTATTAAAGATAGATGCGAAATGAAAACAAATAGTCGGCACATTCCCGTCGTAATTGAAGTGTGGGGGAAAGCACTTTCGACGCGGCGGAGCGCTAGGTGCTAACTTCTTGAATGAAACAATCGTTTGGGGAATATTAATACGTACATTTTACGTGGGTTATTATTCTAGGGTTGGGTTGGGTTGTGTTGTAAGTTAATAAAAGGTTGGGTTGTGTTGTAAAAAACTGCTTGCCTGAGTCACTGAAAACTCATTTTTATTTGGGTTTGCAGGCACTTTCTAGTTCGGCTTGATAGAACTCTTTCTCATGCTCATCAGGAACATAGTCTCTATTGACAACACTGTCGTCACTATAGAATGGATCTTGCTCTACTTTATCTTCTTCATTGTCACTCACATCACTAAAATCACTGGTTATCACAATATCATTCTGTAATTCTCTGTCTATGAGAGGCCTACTAAAGCTAGATGCGAAATGAAAACAAATAGTCGGCACATTCCCGCCGTAAAGGAAGTGTGGGGGAAAGCACCTCTTGCGCGGCGGAGCGGAGATGTTAACTTCTTGAATGAAACAATCGTTTGGGGAATATTAATACGTACATTTTACGTGGATTATTATTCTAGGGTTGGGTTGGGTTGTGTTGTAAGAAACATCTTGCCTGAGTCAATCAAACTTTTTTTTGTTTGGGTTTCCAGGCACTTTCTAGTTCTTGATACAGCTCTTCCTCATGCTCATCAGGAATATAGTCTCTATTGGCAACACTGTCGTCACTATAGAATGGATCTTGCTCTACTTTATCTTCTTCATTGTCACTCACATCACTAAAATCACTGGCTATCACAATATCATCCCGTAATTCTCTGTCTGAGAAGCCTATTAAAGCTAGATGCAAAATGAACAGAAATATTCCCGTCGTAAAGGAAGTGCGGGGGAAAGCACTTTTGACGCGGCGGAGCGCTAGATGTTAACTTCTTGAATGAAACAATCGTTTGGGGAATATTAATACGTAAATTTAACGTGGGTTATTATTTTAGGATTGTGTTGGGTTGGTTTGTAAGTTAATAAAACTTACTTCATGTAAAGTTCTCCCAGTAGCAGCCCCACTATTTTCCTTTTTATTTGCAGCGTTAGTATTAGCCCCAACAGGCGCTGCTTGAACTCGTAATTGCTGTAATAACTTCAAAGAAAGCGACCTTCCAGTACCTTCATAACCATTTATTGTTGAAGCTAAAAACACCAAATACGGTCCTAACATAGCTTTAACATATGGTAAAGGAATCGCGGCTGCTTCATCAATTACAACTAATTCAGCTTGAGATAATCGATGACTATCAGTTGGGTGAATATATTGAATAGTTTGGCGGTGTTCTCTAAAAATATTTACTCGAACGATTGCTTTATTAAATTCGGGGTTTGTGGATTGAATTAAACTGTAATCAATATGTTCTTGATATTCTAAAGAATCGAATCCTTTAAAAACGAATTCAAAGAATGTGTTTAAATTTTCTGGGCTTGGGCTGGTTACGAAAATGTTTGAATAACCAAAAGCAATTGCTGCTGCTACGGATAACCCCAAAGCGGCTGATTTACCCCGCCCTCTACTTGCAGTTAACGAAACTGTTGATCTTAAAGATTTCTCAGAAATTGCTTCAATAAATTTTAATAAAGCTTTTGCTTGATCTAAAGTTTTACAACAATTTACTAAAACTCCAACCGGTTGGGTTTCTCTTAAAGATTCTTTTAAACTTTCTAATTCTGCATCATTTTCTGATGGTTCTGTGTTTTTTTCAATCGGTTCAAGATGTAAATTATGCGAGGAAATTGGTAAAACTGATAATTGATCATCAACAACTAAACATCTTTTACAAGAAGCCAAAGAAAGCAAAAATCTTTCGTTGAATCTACAAACAACATCTTGATGTGCCTCTGTTCTAAATCTTTGATGAACATCCATAGACATTGTGTATAATTGTTTTAAAGAGTTTAACGATTTTAATAATATAACAACAAGTCCTCCACCTTCAACAGTTTCTATCGTTCGAGCTAATAAATTCGGCGTTAACGCTTCGAAATCTTGAAGCACACACATCCCGTAAGTGTTACCCAAAATTTTATGAGTTTCTGAGTAATAACAATATCTAATTTTAGTAGATGATAAAAACAATTCAAAGGGATCATCTTCGTTTACATTTAATTTCCCTGCTTTTATTTTATGTTGTAGTTGTTTCATACGTTTCTTTCTGTGGCTGTTAAATCCTAATTCCTTTTTATAACACCATAAAACGGAAGGTCTTGCTTTTACTTCCGCTTTTGTTAACATGTGGTGTAAAATAACAACCTAATTCAATTAAAAAATATTATAAAATTCGTTGCATTAAAATAAAACTTACCTGATCTCTTCCTTTATCTCCAACGATAACAAATAAGGTTCTATGCCCCAATTTAACACCATTTTCAATAAGTACTCTTATTCTATTATCAATTTTCTTTCGAACCATTTTAATGAATTTTTAAAGTGAGGTTATATTTGATTTTTGACAACACGTGTTTTAAGTCAAACAACAGGGTTGCCAATTATAAATGATTTATTAATTATTATTGTTAATAATAATATTATGGATAAATCGATTTAATTAATAATTTCTTTATGTAAATTATTATGGAATATTATATATTAAAAAAAAAATTGGAAAATTTTTAAAAATATCGCAATCAATACATAGAAATTGATTTTATGAATTACAGATGGCGTTAGTATCGAAAATAAAATTTAAATTTGAATATTATTTAATTTTTTGAATGTAATTTCGTTCTAATAAGGATTACGGAGGTATTTAATCCGATTAAAGTAATTACATAAAAAGTAGTTGATAAACATTTCGATTGAAAACAAGTCTATACATGGTGATAATTGAGCTGGGAAGCAAAATTTCCGTGGGTAGTGGAAAAACCGGTCTCTCAATATGCAATAAATATTCGCCGAGGTTTCTATTTAAGAGTGGCACGTAGGAATTTTATTCTTTAATTTGCATTCTATTCAAATAGAACGTCGATTTGCATATCGACGGTTTGTGGTTATTCGTTTAATTGGCACCTAACGTCTTTAACATGACGAATAGGTGATTAAAACAAATTTTGTTTGAATTAATTGGAATTAATTCGAAATTGATTGATCGTTGAAAAATAATTTTAAAATTATTGATCTAAAATGATCGAATTGGTGATGTTAGAATTGTTTGAACACCTGGCGAATACGATGACCTCGGTGAATCCCACGCGAAAATTCGTGTCGGAGTTCGTTGTTGGCATTTTGCGCCCGGGGTGGCCGTACGAACATAAAATGCGCCGTTAAGGATCGTTTTTTAATTATTCGGTCTTAATGCCGCGTTTAAGCTGTCGCCTGTAAATGCGGTGGCAATTAATTTGAACCACAAAAGACGGCCGCCCGTTGCCAATTGGACGTAAATTACGTCGCTCTTCTCCCGGTAATTAAGTCGGCCCGTATATATTGAAACGTAACCAGGAATTTATAAGTCCATTCAGTGTCAATTTGGTTCTTATTCATTACATCGTTCTTATACGGCACAATCGACGGCCTACCTAACTGGAAAATTTTATAATTGTGTACTACCGATCAGATTTATGATTTAACAGAGATGGTTACTCAATTTCTTTTGGCAAAAAGTATCAAAAAGATTTTACTTTCAAGATATATCATTGAATTTAAGGTTTTTTGTACAACGTAATAAGATAACAGAAAATTGGTATTAATAATAATAATAATAATCTTTATTATCCCAACAGAAATACATTGTTTCCAAAAGTGGGATAATATTAGTTAAACCTAAAATTTTGAAAGTGTAATGCATGCAGAAAAATTAAAGTAATATTAAAGTAATCGACACAATAATAATAATAATAATGTTTATTTGTCACAAAGAAATGTGCGTACAATAGTTAACAATACAACAAAATAATAATAATATTCAATAAAAAATACAATTTAAGTATTCCTCTATTGAGTGTAATAACAAATCGCTTCACTTTTCCTCTGAAGATGGGCAACGGCAACTCAGAATAGGCTGGTGGCAATTTATTATATAATTTTATGCACATATAATTAGTGCTTTGTTGTGCTCTTTTGATGCGGTGCTATGCAATGACGATCCTATTCTTCTGCCTAGTGTCATGTTAGTGGGGTGGATATCACTATGAGATGAATATCTCATTTTGTTCTTATGCAGAAGGGTAACTGCCGCCAGTATATAACCGCTAGGGACAGTTAATATTTGTATCGCTTTAAATATGCTTCTGCAGCTATCTCGCGGTCCTGCACATGCCAAAGCTCTAAGGGCTTCCTTTTGCTGGATTAAGAGCTTGGAAGTTTGAGGCGATGATCCCCACACCTCGATGCCATATTGAAGTATGGAATTAAAGTGGCTGAAGTAGGCGGTCTTTTTTTCATTCAGTCTTAGCTTATTGCTAGCGAACCACTCCTTTGCTTCCAGCTCTACTTCTTCGGACCTTCCGAGGAGTTCCTATCTCTGTCTAGATGTCACCAACAGCGAAGTATCATCAGCGAAAAGGCACGTCAAATCAGCTGTCAAGTTTTGTGGTAGGTCATTGATAAAGATCAGGAACAAAACCGGGCCCAGAATAGATCCCTGTGGCACTCCCTACCCTATCTGTCTTCTTGCCGAGAATTTTTCCAGTAAACTATTTGTGTTCTACCCTGAAGATATGTCTTGAAAAGTGAAAGTGAAGTACGCCTTATACCGTAGTACTCTAGTATACGTAGTACTCTGTTACAACTGTAATTTCTATATCCTTTTCCTGACAGTAATCATCTGTGCTAGCCACTGGCGTGGACTGGATTGAATCTTTTATTAATATTAAGACACCGCCATGTTTATACTGTTGTCTACAGAAGGATGATGCAATGTTGTATCCATTGATTCTCAATATATTCATTGTTGAGGTGTCCAGCCAATGTTCAGTGATACATGCAACTTCGATATTTTCTAATTCCATCTAAAGTATTTAATTGCATCAATTTTATCTTTCATTGATTGGACATTAACGTTTACAACTTGTACCTGTTTTATTTTGTGAAAATTCATTGTTTTGTTTTTGGTTTGAAGCTATATTGTCTTGCTGATCCGCACCAGTCGTTCTAAAAAAGGATTAATTGCTACACCTGCTAGCCAGAAATCCGGGGTTGTTATTACGCCACTTCCTGCTAAAAAAATCTGCTAACAGACATCTGGCCTGGGATGTGGACGATAGTAGTTTACCAGATAGTGTGGTAAAAACCCCTTTCCTCGTCTTCTCTGGAACCACCTAATTGGTATTGCATCGGAGATCCAACAGCTGGTAAGTTTACTTCTTCTCTTTCTTCGTACTTCGTACTTTTTCCATCGTCTTGGTTTGCCGTTGCGTCTCGCCATTGTGGGATACATATGGATCGTTACTTTTTGAAATCATATTAGTTCTATACATAACGGGGAGGGGAGGGATCCTCTTCCTCGCGCCGCTATTCTTCCTCCTTCAGGTCCTCGTTCTTCCAGCTCTCTTCTTGACTCCCTCGGTACTGGGTTGGACTTTTTCTTTTCGTTTACTCCTCAAAGTATCTCATCGCGCCGTTGTGAGATAAAAAGGACTACGTTATTTTTTGAATTATTTTTGTTTTAATACATACCGGTCGGGGAGAATGAGGTTTCCCTCATCCCGTTGTGGTTCTTTCTCCCTCTTCACCAGGGCTCGGGAGGAGTTCTCTCCTCATCTCTTCCTATAGCGGTTGTTTCTTCTTTGTTCTTTGCTATCATTGTTCTTCTGTTTTCCTTCCTACATACCCGGTTGTGAGGTGGTTAATATCCACCCCGTCCCGTCCTCCCTGCTCTTCTTCTCCTCGCACCATCGTTTCCTCAAGCTGTCTCTTCTGCAATTCTCGTTCGTGCTTTTCCTTGATCTTCATGATGTCTGTTACCGTTTCGTTGACTATAGTCCACTTTTCTTCTTTGTCTAGCATCATTGCGATCATGGTATCTTTGTTGAAAGTAGTTCCGCATCTAGATTCACATTTCAGTCTATATGATGTAAATCTTCGGCACGAGAACAGAGTGTGTTCCGCGATATCTGTCTCTTCTCAAAACCAGCATTCTTCGGTCTCGGTCTTTTTTATCCTATGGAGATACTTTTTGAAACCCCCATGTCCTGTTAAGGCTTACGTTAGGTAGTAATTTACCTCTCCCCACTTCCTCATTGTCCAAGGTTCTATCTGTGGAATCAGGGTCTTTGTCCAGCTGTCGCTCTTTGACCACCTTGTCTACCAGGCCTCGATCATTCTGTCTCTGCTTTCTGCCTTACTTTCTCTGCCGCTTGCGTACTATTCAGCTCGGACTTGTACTAATAAAACTAGTGGGGCCAAACCCGCTATTAAATGGATAGATTCTGCAGACACCGTTCGTATTTTAGGCAACGCTTCCGCTGCGTATAGAATCGCCGACGTCACAGCGGTTGTAAGGAACCTTCTCTTCGTTTCTTTCGGGCCACCCAATTTGGCATAAACTTTAAGAGCAAGTTGCCTTGTTGGAAACATGCTCATGTCTTTGTTGAGATATACACCAAGACATTTCACCTTCTCTGCACTAGGATCTCTTTATCTTCCACTCGCAAATTCAAAGATTTTAATTTTCTTCTTCCCTGCAGTAATATTAGTTCTGTCTTCTGGGCGGCGATGTTTAGCCCCATATCTTTCAAGGTCGCAACTTCATCCTCGAGTTGTTGGGCGTCCCTTCCCTTCACTACGAGAGCGAGATCGTCGGCATACGCTTTTAGTTCGACGCCGGGTTCCTGTTCTATTCTCAGAACTTTGTCATAGTACAGGTTCCATAACAGTGGGCCTAGGAGAGATTTCTGAGGCACTCCACAAGAGACGCTGTAAGTTTTACCGTTCGGTGCTATGATAAATCTGTCCGAGAGGTATTCTTTTACCATACGGACTAAATACGGACTCACTTCTCCTTCCACCAACGCTTTAACGATCTTCTGCCACGGAGCCGAGTTGAAGGCATTCTCGATGTCTATAAGTATTAACCCGAAACCCAACCATCCAACCCTTTTTTTCCACCACACCTTTTCAACCGTTCTCCGTTGTTTTTTGCTCCCCTTCCTTCGTGATGATGACCTCCCTTACGGACTCTGAGGAGGTGTATTGAACTGCCTGGTTGTATAATACATATAACACTTGGGTTCATTGTCTTGCTGGAATATCCAGCAATTCTCGAGGGCCAAGCTTTTCAATGATGGTTTCAAATTTTGAACTAAAATACTTTTATATTTATACTGATGCATAATTCCATCAATGAATGCCCCTTTTCCTACACCAGATGCTGCTATCGCTCCACAAACCATGACATGACGTATTTCGTTTCCTCCACATTTTTGTCCGACCATCACTTCCAAAAAGGTTGTACTTCGACTCGTCAGTAAACGAAACCATGGAAAAGATCCATTCCCTTGCCGACATGAGGTTGAGCAAATTCTAGTTGAAGACTAGA